GTTTCTTGTGTACAGCAGAAGGATGGATTCTGCTTTCATATCCATTCTCTTAGCCTGTGTCTTTTTATAGGTGAATTTAGTCCATTGATATTGAGAGATATTAAGTAACTGCTAATTCTTGTTAATTTTTGGTGGTAGTGTTTGTGTGTTTCCCTTCTTTATGGTTTGCTGATGTGAGTTTATCTGTTGCCTGTGTTTTTGTGGGTGCAGTTAGCTTTCTTAGGTTGGAGTTTTCCTTCTAGTACTTTCTGTAAGGCTGGATTTGTGGAATAGTATTGTTTAAATCTGGTTTTGTCATGGAGTACCTTGTTTTCTCCATCTATGGTGATTAAAAGCTTTGCCAGGTATCGTAGTCTGGGCTTGCACCTGTGATCTCTTAGTGTCTGCATCATATCTATCAAGGAGCTTCTAGCTTTCATGGTTTCATGGTTTCCATTGAGAAGTCAGGTGTAATTCGGATAGGTCTGTCTTTATATGTTACTTGACCTTTTTGCTTTGCAGCTCTTCATATTTTTTCTTTATTCTGTATGTTGAGTGTTTTCATTATTATATACAAGGGGACTTTTTTGTCCAATCTGTTTTGTCTGCTGTAAGCTTCTTGTACCTTCATATGCATATCCTTTAGGTTTGGAAAGCTTTCTTCTATGATTTTGTTGAATATATTTTCTGTGCCTTTGAGCTGGAGTTCTCCTTCTTCTACCTGTATTATTCTTAGGTTTGGTTTTTTCATGGTGTCCCAGATTTCCAGAATGTTTTGTGTTGAGAATTTTTTGGATTTAACATTTTTTTTTGACTGATGAACCTATTTTCTCTATAGTAACTTCAACAATTGAGATTCTCTCTTCCATCTGTTGTATTCTGTTGGTTATGTTTGTATTGGCATTTCCTATTTGTTTAACCAGATTTCCATAGCCAGAATTCCCTCTGTTTGTGTTTTCTTTATTGCTTCTATTTTAGTTTTCAAGTCTTGAACTGTTTGAACTGCTTGCTTCACCTGTTTGATTGTTTTTTCTTGATTTTTTTTGAGTTTCATTAAGAGATTTATTGATTTCTTCCAATTTTTGATTGTCTTTCTTTTGATTTCTTTAAGGGATTTTTCTCATTTCTTCCTTAAGGGTCTCTATCATCTTATTAAAGTTATATTTAGTATCGTTTTCTTCTGCTTCCTTTGGTTTAGGATGGCCAGGTCTTCCTGTTATATGACTACTGTGTTCTGATGTTTGTTACCATGTTGCTTTTTAGGTTGTTGAATAAATTATTGTATTGATGCTTAACCATCTCTTCCTCCAATTGGTGCTGGCAGGGTCTTTACCTCTTGATCCAAGCCTTTCAGCTGCCATCCATATCTCAGGGAACTGCTCTTGGTCTGCTCTGTGCAGTTGCTGCCTGTATCTCAGGGTGTCGCTGAGGTCTCTCTTGACCCACTGTCTTGGTTCTCACTGTGCTGTTGCAGCCTGTGATTCAGAGTTCCTTTGAGGTCGCAGGGGATGAGTCACCATTTTTATATGTAAATATCATGTATTTTTCTCATATTCACCTTTCATTGCCTCTTTCATTGCTTCTGCTATCCTTTTCCTCATCTCCTTCTTCTTTCCAATTAGACTTTCTGATTTCATGAATTTTAAATTTTATTTTTAAATCTAGATTTTGCATATAAGATAAAATATGTGACATTTGTCTTCTTGAATGGCTTGTTTCACTTAACATGATGTTGTACATTTCCACCCTTTTTGTAAATGTCATAATTTCATTCTTCTTTATAATAAGATAATATTTAATTGTGTCTATATATTAGATTTTCTTTTTCAATTCATCTCTTGGAGGTTACAGGGACTAATTCTTTATCTTGGATTTTATGAATAGTTATGGATTAAACATATATGCAGGTATCTCTGTTGTCTATGACATAGATTCTTTTAGGTAAATCAAGCTTGATTTTGTGAAATAAATCTATCATAAGTTTTTATAGTTTCTCTACTTTTGAATAATTTGTTTACTTCAGTTAAATCTGGTATTTAGCAAACATGTTTTACTTTTGGTAACACAATGCATTATATATAGTAAAGCTACAAGAAATAACCCCATTTTCCTAAGAAAAGAAGGAATGAAGTATGTTTCTGAATACATGGATACATCCCTTCTTACTGATTCAAATCTTTAGTGATTCTCAGGTTTAATCTATGCAGCTATGTAGCACCTATACCAACCCTTCTTCCACAGTAAATATCACCAGTTGATAACATTCATTCCCATCTGGCACAAGTCCTTTTCCATGACAGACATCATCAGTTGATAGTAGCATCCATTCCCACCTATATCAAGCCCTCGTTTGTGGTAGATATCACCACCTGGTAATGTTAGCCATTTCTACCTGTAACAAGCCCTCTTCCTGGTAGAAATTATTAATTGATAGTAGTATCCACTCACTCTATATTTAAAGTAGCTCCAGAATGTTTACCACCCATAAGAGTAACTCAGGAAGTTACTTCTGATCCATTTTTGCTGTTTGGTAGTATAGGATTCTCTGACATGTGCGGACTTTTATAGTTTTACCATAAGCTCATCTGGGTCATTAGATGTATCTTCAGCCAGTTCTTTGCTTTCTCTGGTGGATAGCCAAAACAGCATACACTATTTATACTTGATGACTTTGTAATTCCTTACTGCAGTTACTTCTTGCTCAAAATGTCACAGCCTTGGCCTTGGAGCCTGTAAGAACCCATCCTCCACATATCTGAAGTGGTATTGCAATTAAAAGTATTATCTCTAGATTTAGCTGGCTTAAAAATCGGGATCATTTCAATTCCTAATTCATGGTAAACTCTAAGAATGATAAGTCAGATTGTCCATTGATCCATTGATGTAGAACTGATTACATGACCATTTAACTGGTGCTATTGAATAATAAATATTGAGGAAAGGAATGAGTCTAGATACAAAAGAGATGGAAAATGATATAATGAACATGTGTAGTCCAGAGTACATTTGATGGCTCTGTTGAGTCCCAGGCTACAGTTTGAGGGACAGCAGTGAGGAAAACAGTGAAAGTCATTGCCATAGAGTTAGTGAGGTTAAAATCTAAGGAAATGAAGTAGCTACTAGAATAAAACGTCTGAGAGCATCTTAGCCTCCTTCCTTCTTTCACTCTCTGTTTACCCATCAGAATGTTTGGTCTGAGGCATAGTGTTTTCCTCAGTCCATCTCCTATCCAGGCCACTACTGCCTCTTACCCTGACAGCAGAAAGCTTTTCCTGGGATTTCTCTGCTTCTATTTCTCCCTCTGCAATCTGTTTACCATACACAGGAAGGTTTTTAAATGTGTATCCAAAACCTGGGTAAAGTACCCCATACCTCAAATCCCAGCACTTGGAAGGCTGAGACAGGAGGATCTGAGTTCAAGGCCACTATGGACTACATAATAAGATTCTGACTCAAGAAAGTTGGTTTATTTAACATATTATATCACAGTATATTACTTTCCTAGATGAAATATTTCTGTAATTTCTCATTGTTGTTACAAGATTAACATTTGCGCCCAGGGAGATGCCCCAGCATTTAAGAACACTGGCAGCTCTTACAGAGCAGGTTCAGTTCCCATCACCCATGTGTCAGTTTCCTACCATCTGTACCGCCAGTCCCAGGGCTCCTGGTGCCCTCTTCTGGCCTCTGCAGGAACTGCATGCCTGTGTTCTACACACATATACATACAAAATTAAAACATGATAAAGCAAAGCAAAACACATTACTTACTACGCATATCTCTCAATGACCATTCCTTCCTTTTTTCCTTCCCTCCCTCCCCCTTCTCTCCCTTCTTTCTTTTTAACCCCACTTTATCTCTTCCTCCCTGCTTTCCTTTTTCTTCCTCTTTCCTCCATTCTTTTTCCTTCTTTGCTATTCCCTTCCTTTTCCCCTTCCACACTTTCTTTCTTCCTCCTTTCTTCCCTTCCTCCTGTCCCCCTTTTCTTCCTTTCCTTTCTCACTTTCTCCTTTCCATCATCCTCGCTTCCTGTTACTCTCACCAAGAGATGGCATTGGCAGAACAGTGGTAGAGAGGACCGCAAAGGTGTCACTAATGCTCTCTGTCTCCTTCATTCATTATTGCCAGTCAGATTGTGTTCGCCATGGGCTCCTGATATTCTCTGTCATAACAGTGCTTTGCCCCTTTGTCCTTCAGATCTCTGGAATTGATTTTCTAATATTTTCATCCATCCTTCAGGGTTTGTTCTTGTTGTTGTTGGAGTTCTTTCATAATTAAATATCAGATGTTAATTCTATTCTGCTAACCACAAATATTTGCTATGGTATTTCATGTAGGAAATATAAATTTGTTGAACAAAGGAAGGAAATAAAATTGCAGTCAGTGGGGCTAAAATGATAAGTCAAGTGATAAATTGCTTGATTTACAAATCTAAGGATCCAAGTTCTCTTCCCAGAACTCATAAGTTCACTTGTAATCTCAGTGCTTCAGAGATTAAAAAAAATAGGTTTCTGGGGCTCTCTGGCTAACTAGGACAGTTGATTTGGTGAAATGTAGACTAAAGAGACCATATCTGAAAAAGTGTTCAAGGAACGACATCCAAGGATGTCCTTCCCCGCCTCAGACATACATACACCCCACCCCCACACCATATACACATAGGCATATACACATACACACACATTCCCATTTATATTAACACAGACACAATAAAGAGCTATCACATGTAATTTAATTTATGGTCCATATCTGCTGTGGTTAGGGAGCCAATTGAGCAGCTCTTAAATGTTGTAGGACACCCACCTCTCTTGCACACGCACACACACATACACACACATGCATACAGAGCAAGTATACACTCCTATTTGAATTTGTTCAAGGACAAATTGAGTGGACTCTTGTGATACAGAGAATAAGAGCCTCTCTTTGAAAGGACTGGCGCAGCCTGTAGAAAGGGTAAAACAAGGATCCCATGCAAGCTGAAGACAGATTTTCTTTTCTCTGCTTTTTGGCTTTGCAGCCATGACCCATTCCCTGGTGCCCTTTACTCTCAACTTCACCATCACAAATCTACAATATACACCAGCTATGAAACACTCAGGATCCTTAAAGTTCAACAAAACAGAGAAGGTCCTGCAGTACCTGGTAAGAGTTCTTATATAATAACCTCCCTCTTCTACCTCTTAACCACCCCTGCAGTTTCTTACTCTTTCCTCTCTCCTTCCTCTCCAGCTTGCTGCTGTGTTCAAGAATACCACCATTGGTCCATTGTACTCTGGGTGCCAACTGATCTCGCTCACGTAAGTTTTAGGTTGTTTGCTTCTCATATACCCCACCTGCCCATCAACGCAGCACTGAGTACCTGGGATGCTATTTCTCTTGAATCTTCTCCCGAGTTCTTAACCTCTGAACTTCTTTCTGGTCCTAACCAAGATGTTGAATATACCCCCAGGGATAATTTCTCAGCAATGTTCAAAATTAATCTTCATTCAAGAAAATGTGTAAATCCAAACTGTTTGTGGTATGCTCACCTCTCTTTTTAAAGATTTATTTTTATTTGTATGTGTGTGTTTGTGTGTGTGCAGATTCATATGTGTCTACCCATGTGCATGCATGTGCAGCGGTCTGAGAACAACTTACTGGGTCATTACCTTCCTTTTCCCTTGTTTATGAGTTGGTTTCTCTTGTTATTTCTGCCTCTGGGCTTTAAATGCAAACATTCGGCTGATTCTCCTGTCTATGTCTTCCATCTCTTGATGTTAGTGCTCATGACAGCTGCAAACAACTATACCCAGGTTTAAAACTTCCATTATTAGGGTTATGCTACCCACACTCTTCCAGTGAGTTATCTCATTGCTTTCCATGTTCATTTCCTAACCCATCTGAGAACTGTTCAAGGGAGCTGAAGAGTTCTGTGCTCACAGCTAAAACAAAAAGGAACTATGAAATCAAACAGCTAAGTTATTTGCTGAACCACCTGTTTGTTTTTTAGGTTTATTCTGAGATGGTGGATTAAAGGTTGTAGGAGGCTGGCACAAATTAAGCATTTCTAACTCGAAAATGCTCACAGCTCCAGAAAACTGCATGTGCATGTGTATGTCTGTGTGTGTGTGTGTGTGTGTGTGTGTGTGTGTGTGTGTGTGATATGAGAGTGTATTGCTATACCTGCTTGTCTGGGTGTGTTTAGCCCAAGGTTGACATGGGATGTCTTTAATTGTTTCTCTACCTTCTATTTTTGTGACAATTTCTCAGTAAACCTGAAACTCACCCTTCAATCTGAACTGGCTGACCAATGAAATGCAGGGATCACTCCCTCAGCTCTGGGATTAGAGATATGTACTGCTATACCCAGACATTTTGTGGCCTTTGGGATTTGAACTTGGGTCTTCGTGTTTGTGGAACAAGTGCTCTTCCTCACTGAGCCATGTCTTTAACCCTAGAATTTCTAGCATGTCAAGTTGATATTCATTTTTTTGAATATTAGAGAAATTTAAACTTCATATTAAAGATACAAAAATGGTAATATATATTCCAAAAGCTGGAATGCTCTCATATCTGAAAAAAATGTCATCCTAAGCATTTCAGATAAGAGATACTCAACTTGAATGTGCATGAATAAAATCCTGCCATCTCTAGTCCCATTTTGCCTTCTTTGTCCAGTGATTATTCATAAATTGGAGATTTCTTTTGCTTTGTAAGAATGCTAATTTCATCTCTGTAGTGTGTGTGTATGTGTGTGTTCATGCATGAATGGTTGTATACATATCTGTGTGTACATGCATGTGGAGCCGGAGGTCAGCCTCAGTGATTATCCCTCAGGTCTCACCGCCTTGTTTTTCATTTGTTTGGTTGGTTTTTGAGGTCTCTCCTTATCTTGGAACTTTTCAATATGGCTAATTTGACTGACCAGTGAGCCCTAGAGATCTATCTTTCACATCCCGAGCATCAGACTTACATGTGTATACCAACAGGGTGAGCTTTTTACCATGGGCTCTCCAATAGCACTCGGGTGCTAGTGTTTACAGGGCATCTGCCCAGCCCTCTTGTGTCATTTTCTGACATCATCATTCTTTTTTGTTCAGAAAAAAATTTTATTTTTATTTTTATTCGTATGTAAGTGTGTGTCTATGTGTGAGCATGCACACATGCATGTGGGTGCTGCTGGAGTCCAGAAGAAGACATCATATAGCCTGGAGTTGCAGGGCTTATGAGCTGCCCAACAGACATGCTGGAAACAAAATTTAGGTCCTCTGCAAGAATGACAAGCATCATTAGCTTATTGAGCCATATCTCCAGCTCTCAGACAATCTTACAAGCCTCCTCATCATCCACTTTGAATTTATTCTCATCCCGATATCTCTATGAGCCCAGACCTGAAAAGGATGGATCAGCCACTGGAGTGAACATGATCTGTACCTATCGATCTGAGCCCACGGGCATGGGGCTGGACCCAAAGCAGCTGTACTGGGAGCTGAGCCGTGAGACCCATGGCATCACCCAGATGGACTTCATAACCCTAGACAAGAACAGCCTTTATGTCAATGGTGAGTGTGTGAGCAGCTGCAGGTATCTTCCCCAGGGAGTTCGTTGTACATTCTAGGCGTTCTAGAGTTGAGAGAGAGAGAGAGAGAGAGAGAGAGAGAGAGAGAGAGAGAGAGACAGGGACAGAGACAGAGAGACAGAGAGAAAAGAGGGAGAGCAGAGAAAGGAAAAGAAGATGGAAACATAGGGAAAGAGAAACAATAGCTTTTCTGGAAATATAGGAGAGACTAGATACCAAAGTAGCAGGGGGTGGATATGAGGTGAATTGCAGACAACCTGATAAAGAATTTCTTTATGCTCTAATTATGTTTTCTAGATTTTTGTCTACAGAGTCTTCGTGTGTGTGTGTGTGTGTGTTGCTGGGGTTCAAACGCTGGGCTTTATGTATGCTGGACAAGTGCTCTCCTATTGACCTCTTATTTTTAGCACTAGCCCCCAGAATTTGCATTTTGAGAGCAGTGGGTAAATATGATTTAAAAATAAATCCTAGTTAGGTCAGGTACTTGTATATGATGATACACACCTGTGATCTCAGCCACTTAAGAGAGCTATAAGCATGAAGATCATGAGTTCATGATCTATCTGGGCTATAATGTGAAACTCTGTCTTAATCAAGTAGAAGTCTAGGGATCTAAATAAGTGGTAGATCAATTCCCTAGCATGTTCAAGGCCTTAAATGCTATCCCATTGATTCCAGGCTTTTGCAACTTTTTCATTCCTTATTCCTTGAATATTGACTTTATTTTTCTTTATACAGGTTATAACCATTGGCTCCTGACCTCAAACACTAGCAGTAAGTAATCTGAACCCACATATCATGTCACCTTTTTTCTACCCCCTATCCCACATCCCTAGAAAGGGAAGGAGCCCAAACAGCACCTCATCTGCAATCTTTATCCCCTGACTCAGAAAAGATACTCTCAGAACAGATTCAGACAGTGAAAATGATTTTACGATATTTTGAGGAGCCCTTACCTAGAGAAAAGCATTTTCTCTTTGACATTTTAATTTTCATCTAATTGCTATGGCTTCCACTAGTATCCTGGCAAAAAGTACAACTCCTGTCTTGGGCTCTTCAGGTATGAGCTTCTGCTTTTGATACCTTTCTACAGGGTGGGTGACATGGCTCAGTTGGTGAAGTGCTTACTATACAAGCACAAGGACCTGAGTTCAATTCCCACCATCCACAAAAAAAGCTGGGCATGGTAATATGTACTTGGAATCTTAGCACTGGGAAGACATAGGAAAATGTGATACCTACAAACCTCTCATGTCCTGTGACAGTGGAACATTAGGAAAGCCCTGAGGCTTCATTCATTCATTCTTTCATGCATGCAGCAAGTATTAAAGTATTAAGAACTTACTGTATTAAATGCCCTGATGATGATGTCACATCAACAAAATAGTATGGACTCTAAACTATCTACGGTGAACAGAGAGCAGGGCAGACAGAGAAGAAAAACAGAATTATACGGATAAGTGCTCAATTAAAATAGATGGCCCAAGGGTGAGACCTGAGGGCACCTGGATGAGTTTCCCTCTGCTTATGCTTCTAATGACTTCAGTCAGCAGAGATAAGGGTCTCGAACGGTGACATATTGAATTAAAGAACTGGGAATGAGAACTTAAGAAGACAAGAAATAAGAGGACAAAAAAAAAAAAACCTGGAACCAGGAAGTTTTGCATAACCTGATGACTTATGCCAAATAAGTTCATTAAGAAGTCAGTATCATATATACACTTTTCAAGAGGGAAATGTCCCAGGTCAGCAGAGAGCTAAGTCAGCTGGTGGTGGGAAAGAGAACCGGATACTTCAGATACAACTGCTTCAAGACTCAGGGTAAGAACAGCCCAGGAAAAAAGGTGTCAACCTCAACTTCTCCTCGGAGACACCGACTCTAGCATCAGACTGGCCTTGCCAAGCCCATTCCCAGACAAGGACACAGAAGTAAAATTTCTTCTGTCCTTTCATTAGGGACTCTGAGAAAGACCTGGATCAGTCTGACTCCCCACATTCTTAGATGTATGTGTGTGTGTGTGTGTGTGTGTGTGTGTGTGTGTGTGTTGTGTTGTGTAGATATTTGTGCATGCATGTGGATGCCAAAGATCAATGATGGGTGTTGTTCCCATATGCTCACCACGTTATTTTTTTAAGATAGTGTCTGACTAACTTGTAGCTCACCGATTCAGTTTTACTATCATCCAGCCAACAAGCTCCAGAGATCCTCCTGTCTCTGCCTTACCGGTGCTGGGATCACAGGTGTGTAGTATAACACTGCACCCAGGTTTTTGAATAGGTTCTGAGGATCTGAAATCAGACCCTTATGTTTGTGAGACAAGCGCTGGACTGACTGAGCCATCTCCACCGCCCCTTTGTTTTCAGCTGAGGAGAAATGAGAACATACTCTATACACAGACCTGAGAAATCCAATGTCATCTAGTATGGGTGGGCTCTCCCTCGGCTGAAGTTCAGCATCCCATACCCAGGCTTCTCATAACTGTGCACTGGCCCTGTTGAAGGTTCTGAAAGAGCAGACACTGTTCTTATCTTATTCTAGTGTCTTGCTTTACATTGCTGAAAGTGCTAAGGTGTGAGGTTCAAGGTGAATGCTGAGGCAGACCGTGATTTAGGGTAGGAGACGCATTCGAACAGTCATTAGTTAGTCCCTTGGACAGACAGCACAGTGGTGGCTCTGATGAAAAATCAAGTCCGCAAAGTGCAGTGAGGATCCTTTCTTAAAGGTCTAAGAGGAAGGGGGTGATTCATGTAGACAGGCTGTCCCCGATTCCTAGATGGGCATCAGGCTGTCCCCGATTCCTAGGGAGAGGAAGGAGAGGGACCTTACATTTCCAAGAAAGAATGTGTGACTCTTGGGATGTGGAGGAAGTGTGAAGAGGGGCACACAGCTAGTTTCAGGTGTACTGAGTGGAAGGTGTCAGCACAGGTAGTGCTCTGAACATGCTTGAGTGTGGCGTCCTCAAATCTGTGAACTGCCTGGGGGTGGGTGGGGAATATTGTCTGCAATTCTCCTGGAATCTGAGAACCTGAGGAGTCTATTAGGGGCTTAGAAATTCACAGACAGGCTTTCTGTAGGGAGCTTCTCATTTCCAGTACAATGACTACTGCAAAGAAAGAAGCTGCTGCCAGTGGGCGTGGCCAGAACTGCAGTCTGCTCTAAATTCTAGTAAACACAAACATGTACCCAGGGTATACTGGTCACTGATTACTTATGAAAATTGAGGTTTCTCTGCATCTGCTTCCATCAGTTACTGCATGCATGTTCTGTGATGATAGTTACGGCATTCCCCAATCTGATTCCTGGGGAAGGCCAGTTCAGGCACCCTCTCCACTATTGCTAGGAGTCTTAGCTGGGGTCATCCTTGTAAATTCCTAGGAGTTTCTCTAGCACCAAATTTCTCCTTAACTCCAGAATGGCTTCTTCTTCAAGATATCTCTTTCCTTGCTTCCCTTCTCTCCCTCCCCTGCCCCTGACACAAGCTTGTGGGTGCTCATTCACTCTGGACTGATAGCTAGAAAACCTGCATAGGACTCAATTAGGCCCTCTGAATATGAGTGACAGTTCTGTGGCTTGGGCAGTTTGTGGGCCCACTAACAGTGAGACTAGGATTTATCATTAGTGCATGAGCCGGCTCTTTGGAGCGCATTTCCCATAGAGGAACACTTTTCCCAGCCTTTATACAGCCAGAGGGCCTTGGTCCTATCTCAACTGGATATGCCAAACTCTGTTGACTCCCCTTGGGAAGCCTTACCTTTTCTGAAGCATAAAGGGGGGACTATTAGGGAAAGGTGGGAGAAGAGTGGGAGGAAGGGAGGGAGAGAGGGGAACTGTGATTGGTATGTAAAATGCAAAACAAAACAAAAAATTAAATAAAATTTTAAAAAGAAAAAGAAAATTGAGGCTTCAGTATCATCTGGACCTGTCCATGGACCTTGGTAAAAGATCTGAGGATAAACATACTGGCACAAAGGCTGGGCTTGACTCAGACCCAGTTTGGAGATTACATGAGTAATTTCTCCTTGGCTCAAATTTTATACATATAAAATAAGCTTCCCAATATCATCTCCCACCAAATCAATGGCTCCAATTTAAGGAAAGAATGTAAAATGGAGTATAGCCCCAATGTATTTCTTCAGATCGTTCTTATCCTTATCCTGTGTGCATGTGTATGCACACTCGGGAGTAACTTGCACGTATGTGCACATGCCTGTGCATGCTGCAGGCCAGCCTTAGGTGTTATTCCTCAGACGCCTTCTAGACTTTGTTTTTTGAGACAAGGCATCTCACTGGGCTGGAACTCACCAAGTAGGAGAAGCTGACTGGCCAATGAACCCCAGAAATACACCTGTTCCCACCTCCCCAACACTGGAATTAGAAGTGTATACCGCCATGTCTGTCTTTTTTTTTTTTTTTTTTTTGTGAATGAGTTCCAGAATCAAGCCCTGATCCTCATTCTTGACTTTAGTCACTGAACTGTCTTCCTAGTCCACTCTCTGCCTTTAAAAATATTTAAAAAACTAATTTTTGCTTGTGTGTGCACACAGACATGTGTGCGCATAAACAATGGCATGAGTGCTGAGAAGAGAGGACAGCCTATGGGAGCCGGCAGTTTATTTCTAGGGTGTGGGTCCTGGGTATCAAATCCAGCGCAGCGAGCAAGTGATTTTGCTGAGTCATCTCACAGATTCTAAACCCTTTACCTTTATGAAAGGAGAGAGAGACATGGAGGCGGGGGGAGGGGGAGAAAGGAAGGAAGGAAGGAAGGAAGGAAGGAAAAAAAGAAAGAAGGAAAAGCATGTACATGGGTTGGGTTGCAGAAAAACAAATTGCATTAATTGAAAACTCAGGAAACAAAGATGCATGTTGGAATTTTATCATCACAGGGTCTGATGTGTTCAGTGTCTGCACCATAGGGTACTAACCCCCACAGAGAAATTCTACTCAGGTTTGGTACATGGCAGGTGATGCTGCATCCACCCACTTTCCTGGGAACCTGTGATCCTAGAGGAAGAATCTAGTGCTGGAAAATACCCAGTTCACAGAGGAAGCAGCAGCTCATAATATCTTTCTCCTATGCCCATTGTAGTGCCAGGCTCTCCTCTGGTGCCTTTCACCATCAACTTCACCATCACTAACCTCAAGTATGAGGAGGGCATGCGTCAACCTGGATCCTGGAAGTTCAATGCCACTGAGAGAATTCTCCGAAGACTGGTAAGAGCTCTGCCCAGTAATTGCATAATTTCCCACATATGTAAGCCAATGCCTATCAGTTAGACGGCACTCTGCAGAAAGCCCCACCAACCTCAACTTTGTTCCACAGATTCCAGCTTTGCTCTTGGAGGCTAGCTCCACACATCTCAAAAACAGTGTTTATTTCCTCAATCCCTGAAGTCACAGCCTTCTCCCCTCTCTCCACAGCTCTGGTCTTTGTTCAATAAAACAAGCATCAGCCTTCTGTATTCTGACTGCAGACTGATCTTGCTCAGGTGAGTCCTCAAATTAAACAAGCCAGAGATCCTCAATGCGTCTCAGACCCAAAGTGCGGTTGGGGTCTTTCCTTTTCTCCTGTCTGTACATTACCAGTGTGGCATTTAGGAAGCACTGCATCCAGCATTCAAAGTGTCCTCTAACCCAACAACTGCTACTTGAGCCAGCCCCACAGCTGCAGACCACAGCAGGTTGATGGCCTTTCCTGTTCATCCATTCTCAATTTCAACTTCATTCCCTCACTGTGGAAAAAGGGAGCCTTAAATTCTATCCCCAGAATTTCTCTTAAACTATTGTTCTAGTTTCATTTCTGTCACTGTGATAAAACACCTCAACCAAAAGCTGCTTAGAGGAGAAATAGCTTATTTTAGCTAATACTTTCAAGTGACAGTAATACTTACCTCAGGGAAGTCACAACCACTGATGACTGAAAGAGTCACATCACACCCACAATCAAGAACAGAGAAATAAAAGCAGGATTGCTCTCTCGCCTGTACTCAGCTTGACTTCTCCATTCTTTTTTTTTTTTTTTTTTTTTTTTTTTGATTTTTTTCGAGACAGGGTTTCTCCGTAGCTTTTTTGGTTCCTGTCCTGGAACAAGCTCTTGTTCAGGATGGCCTCGAACTCACAGAGATCCACCTGCCTCTGCCTCCCAAGTGCTGGGATTAAAGGCGTGTGCCACCACCGCCCAGCTGACTTCTCCATTCTTATACAGTTCAGGGTCCGCTGCCTAGAGTATGTTGCCGACCAAAATGGGCTAGGTATTTCCACATTAACTAGCTTCATTAAGACCAGTCCACACAGGCATGACAACAGATCAAACCAATGGAGATTACCCCCCATTTAAACTCTTTTCCCCCAGTGATTCAGGTAGATAATTGAAGCTAACCAGTACAGACACTAATGTCTTTTCTCTTTGCTTTTATTGTCAAATTTTTATCTGTCTTAAACATGAACTCTCTCTTCTTCACATCATAAGAATGCAGATTAGTGTCTCACAGTCAATAAAAATTCTTTACTCCACGTCTGCTTGGGTTCACAGGCTACCGGAAATCAGTACACTCAGAGACACTAGGCCTGAGGTATCACCTCTACACCAGTCATCTCATCTCCCCTGGCTCCTTCCTCTCCTGCCCCCATCAATCTAAGATGTGTTCCAGGCAATCTCTTTATCATCATTTTCCTCATCTCTCCTTCTCAGGTCTGAGAATGATGGGAAAGCCACAGGGGTAGATGCTATCTGTACTCACCGTCCAGACCCCACTGAGTCTGAGCTGGACAATGAACAGGTATATAGGGAATTGAGCGAGCTGACCAATAACATCACCCAGCTGGGCCCTTACACCTTAGACCAGAACAGCCTTTATATCAATGGTGAGTAGTGGCCATATGTGCTTTATTGCAGAATATACATCCTCCCTTCCCAGCCTCCACTTCCTCACCCTGCCCCCTTCTCGCTCTTTTATTATCTCTTCAGGTTATACACACCAGAGCCTGTCCATCATACCCATGAGTGAGTATTATGAGGCTCCATATGTATCTCCTACTCTGTAAGTCACAGCCCCGTGAAGGAAAAACAAAAGCCCTTCATTTCTGCAGACCTCTCCAGCTATGGCTGCACAGAAACTTATGCCCTTGTCCTAAGTCAGGCTAGGGATACAGCGCTTAGTAAAGCGCTTGCATTGGGCCTGGGGTTTGATCCCTAGCAGCCATGGAGAAAGCCAGGCACAGTGGTGCACATTTGTAATCCTAGCTCTAGTAGGAGTAAACAGCAGGATCCTTGGGGTTTACTGGTCAGCCAGCCTAGTTGGATTGGGGATTCAGGGGTCTTACAACCTGGCCTGAACCGTGAGCACTATACTGGGAACTGAGTAGGCTACCCAATGATATCTCCGAGCTAGGCCCCTTACACCTTGGTCTTAAAACACAAAGTAAACAGTGCCTGAGGAAGAAAAACACCAAAGGGGCTGGAAAGAAAACTCACAGTTAACAGCACTTACTGCTCTTCTAGAGGACCTCGGTTCTATTCTAGCTGCCCACCCAAAGTCCCACAACCATCAATAACTCCAGTTGTAGAGAATCAGATGCCTCTTTCTAGCCTCCGTGAGCACCAGGCATGCACACGGTGCATAGACACGATGTAGGCAAAACACCCCATACATAAAATAAAATAATTTGCAAAACAAATGGCCCTGGATGTTGCCCTCTGGCTCCACATGCACATATGCAGGTGCATGTTTGCACATTCTGTAGACGTCTCAGGCATGTGCACTCCCCTCTAGTATCTTGAAAATGAAAGGATTTTCACTCTAAACACCTGGTACCTTTTGATCCGCGGCTTCTGTGGTGACCACCATTTCTAGCAGCATGACAACCTCTGTCTTCAGTCCCACAGGTAAGATGGAACTGGTAGCACATCTCAATTCCCTGAGAATTCCTTAAATATCAGACCTAATTGCCCAAGACATTTTCTAAAACTCCTCTATGTAACCCATAGGCAGTCTGTAGTCTTAAATCCTTTCCCAGCCTTTTGAACCAGCAGGGCTGCTAGGTGAGGCCTGAAGTGTACCGTGGTCACTGTGTCCAAAGCCAGCCCAGGGCAGAGGAGTACCTCCATAAAGCACTTGACTTGGAACCAGAACCAGAATCTGATTCCTCAAGCCCATGGGAAATTGCCAGATGTGGTAGTGAATCTTGACATTTCAGTACGTGGAGGCAGAGACAGGCAGGTCCCTGGGCCTCACTGGACAACTGGGGTCTCTATCCCAAGGAAAGTAGAAGGTGTTCCTGAGGGTGATACCCAAGGTTGTTCCTCTGGCCTTCACACACACACACACACACACACACACACACACGAACATGCACTGTCATACAGATGCACATTCACAGTAAGAAAATCAGACCTAATGTAATGGTACAACCTCACATAAGCTGAGTGCATAGAAAACATGAAGTCAGCAGTATATGTCCAATTTTAACATTCAGTCCTGCCACTTACAGACTGTGTGACTTGGAAGCAAATCCTTCATAATTTGCTGGAGTTCTTACATTTGTATTCCATTTTGATGCTGCTTGCATTACATTACAGTACTTTGTCCAGTGCAAGCTATCAGTCTGATATAAGCAAAGAACTTCAGACATGATCTGACGTCTAACTGCTACCTGAGGACAGGTGGGTAAGATGGCTTAGGGAAAAAAGGCATTTGCTACCAAGTGTGATGGACTGAATTTTCTTCCTGGGACCTACATGGTAAAAGGAATCAGTTCCTGAAAGCTTTCCTCTGATCTTGACACCCATGCTTTGGCATGTACACACACACAGTCATCACTACATAAGCAAATGAGGAAGTAAATGCTGCCACAGTCTTCAATGAAGAATTGTTTTAAACCAGTAAGTATGGAGACTTCAGAAAAGGCTTAGCTTTTTAAAGGGACTTCAGGAAAGAAAGAAACCTATAGAGATTTTGCCAACTGAAGAGACAAATGTATTTTCTTTCTGCTTCATGGTGAAATCAGCCACACACACCAATCCTTTGTAATTTATTTGAAGGTATGGGGTCTGCTTTCCAAGGAAACATGTGTTTTCTAGAAAAAGAATCTCCTCTGTGCAAGACTACACACAGCTGATGCTCCAAGTTCAAATTCAGAGAAAAACAATAGTCTTAGTGTGTGTCTTTCCTCCACCCCCTCTGCAGCAGCAGTCCCTGTCCTGGTGCATTTTACTATCAACTTCACCATCACTAACTTGGCATTTGAGGAGGCCATGAGTCGCCCTGGATCCAGGAAGTTCAATATCACTGAGAGAATCCTGCAGAGGCTGGTGAGAGTCTTGCTAACTGCGCCTAATACCGCACACAGGTGTAAGCCATGCCTACCTGTCACACAAGCCTCTGGAAGTTGGTGAGAGTTCTGCTCACTGCACCCAGTACCACACACAGGTATAAACCATACCTACCTGTCACACAAGCCCCTGGAAGCTGGTGAGAGTCCTGCTCACTGCACCTAGCACCACACACAGGTGGAAGCCATGCCTACCTTTCACACAAACCCCTGGAATCTGGTGAGAGTCCTGCCCTCTAAATCTAACACGGCACATAGATGTAAGCCATACGTCCCTGTTACACAAGCCACTGGAAGAAGAATTTATCCCTAACCACAAAGATCAAATCTTACAAGAAGACCTAGCCCATCTCAGCCTGACCCCAAGGATGACATGTCTCGGGACCTTGCCAATCTCACTTCTGCCCCACTTGTACTTGCTCGTTTCTTCCTCTCACTCCTTTAACCTTCTTCCACAGCTGAGGCCCTTGTTCCAAAAATCCAGTGTTGGTCCCGTGTATTCTGGCTGTGTCCTGGACTCTCTCAGGTGGGTTTGGGGATATGGAAATGGGGTGTGAGATCTAAAATGTACTGAGTTTCCTTCTGTTGTTTTTCTGCGTAGCTTCTGTTCAGGTGAAGTGAGAAAGCCCTGACACAAGGTGTCTTCCAATCCTACCACTTCCCCGCAACTATCTCCATACTAGTAGACCATCATCACAATTTTACTGTTCCTGATTATCCTGTCTGAATTCCCAATCCCATTTTCTGCCTTTGGAATAAAAGGAGGCTGCCTTATACATTTAAAATTCTGTTCTCTGATTACTGTGAAGACAAATAAATTCTTTTCCACTTGCTGTCAGTCCTAAATCCATTTCTCACTTGTCTTAGATATGTGAGCTCCTCAGATCCCAAAACATGAGAGTGAAGATATGATTCTTGTATTTGATAAAAATTCATAACTCCATGATTTCTGATTGTCTCAGTCTAGGAGAAATCAATATGTTCATTATCTAGGTCTGGCTTCTGGTCTTTTCCAATATTCTTTTTTCTTTATAAAAGATATTTATTTGTCCAGTATGCACATGTAAATGCATGCATGCATTTATGCATGTGTGTTTGTGTGTGTGTATGAACACACCAGTACCATGGCATCCATGTGGGAGCCAGAGGACAATTTATTGACACCATCATGTGGGTCCCAGGGATGGAAGCCAAGTTGTCAGGACTGATGGCAAATTACCCCATCTGTAGATCCATCTCTCTGGGCCTCTATCAGCCTTTTCATTTACTCCGGTACTCCCAATCCTATCCTAGCATTTCACGATGCTTTGTTAAGGAGTCCTTTATTGTTCATTGTTTTACCTGTTCTTCCCAGATCTGAAAATGATGGTTCAGGCACAGGAGTGGATGCTGTCTGCACTCACCACCTCGACCCCACTGGCCTGGGACTGGACAGAAAGATAATGTATTGGGAGCTCAGCCGGCTGACCTATGGTGTCAGCAGGCTGGGCCATTATACTCTGGACCAAAACAGTCTGTCTGTCGATGGTGAGCAATGGCCACCTTCACTTTGCTTTAGTGAAGTGCCCACATTCTCTCTCTTAACTCCTTATCAGTATCTCCCTCCATTTTCAGTCTTTCTTTCATTTTCTTTGCAGGTTACACACATCAAAATCTGGCTACCACCACCAAGAGTGAGTATTCTCAGTTTTTATAAATCTCTACGACTCATATGATTTCCACGTCTTTGGAATGAAAGAGGTCAAAGGCCCATTCTCCATTTCCCAAACTGTGGTGTGAGACTTTCCCTGGAGAGAGGCGACAAACAAACATCTACTCATCCTAGAGAGGGAACTGATTATGCACCAAAGTAGCAACTACACTACCACCCAACTTGGGTAACCAGTGCATTTATTGGGGTTACTCACAAGAGCAGGGGTGACTCAAAGGCAGCTTCATCGTCAATAGCCACCCTAGCATGGGTCAAAACTCAGAAAAACTGGATCCCTGAAGGTCTCTACTTGACTTGCAGGAGTCTCACCATGTCAGAGAGTCTCTCCTAGGCACCAAAGCTGGTCAGAACCTTCTTCCTTAAATGTTTTCCATGGCTTCTATAATCTTGGGCTCTCAAGAATCTTTAGCTTTAGCTTTACCAGACTTGTGAAGTTTATTTTTCTAAGGCTCATGAGCTTCCCCTCTCCTTTTCTGAATAAATGTTTCAACTCAAAGGAAATTGCTAAATGACACAACCTCATCTCTAGCCTGTGATGGACAAAGACTTAAACACATAACTAACCCCAGAATCTGCATTCTTTCCCTGATGTCTCCAAGCTAGTGGGGTTTCTACTCTAATCATTTGAGAGTTTACCTCCACAGTCTCCGTGATGACCACGCCTTCTACAGCGTTGACTACCGGCTCTCCCAGCCATACAGGTAGGAATTCTCCTCTCTGAAGACATACCCAGTGGTTCTAGAGTCTTAGAGTCAGGAGGAGGAGTGGAGGAAGTGACCTATTCCAGAGGATCCTAAGGTTAACACTTGGTGACTTTCACAGGTTCATCCCAGGCCACCAAGAATCCCTTTAATTCTATTTCCTGGTATTCAGAATCTCTGGTAATTGTTTCTGATGTTTATTGGTGGCGATGGATGTCTAAATCCTCCCCCAGCCCTTAGAAGGATATATATAAGCAGGGCTGTTGGCTGAGACTAGATGTATAGTGTGTAGTCACTGGCGTGCTATCAAACATCTCAACAAAAGATCAAACTCCTAGTTTATCACTAAGCAACTCACATACAGCTTGCTGAAAGGACTCCTGTTATTGAGTAGAAAAGTGGTTATTCTGGATAACTCATCATGAATATATTCCTTAATATAAATCTGTATAAGATCCTGTACTATGTGTAGAAACTATAGTCATAGTCTTTTGTTGTTGTTGTTGTTGTTGCTTTGGAGGATTGTATTTATTTATTTGCATTGGTGTTTTGCCTGCCTGTATGTCTGATGAAGGTGTCAGATCTTGGATTTACAGAGAGTTGTTAGCTGCCATGTGGGTGCTGGGTACTGAACCAGGGTCTTCTGGAAGAACAGTGAGTTCTCTTAACCGCTGAGCCATCTCTCCAGCCCCTCTATAGTCATATTCTTTCATCAGGCTTTTTTAAAAAAATGATTTGTCCATAATTGATGGATTATATCAAATCATTTCTTTATTTTTAGGATTATATTCTTCATTTATTTCTACCTCATCTGTAATGTTTTTATTGTAAGAATTATAAAAAAAAAATACTAGGCCTGTAATGGGTTCAGTGGGTAAAAGCTACAAATCTGAATTCAATCCCTGGATCCCACACGGTAGAAGGAGAAAACCTTTGCACTTTGACCTCTATTTGCCCATGCTTATATGGAAGCAATATATGAATATTACAGTAATATGTCCTGTGTTCAAGTTGTATTCTGTGACCTGGGCAAGTTATTTAATTTCTCATTGGCTCAGGATTTTTATTTACATTTACTGGTTGCTTGATTAATGTCTGTATATCATTATGCACAACTGGAAGTCAAAAGACAACTTGAGTTTGTTCTGTCCTTCTGCTATGTAAGTTTCAGAGATACAACTTAAGTCATCAGACTTGTCAGCAAGCAGCTTAATCCACTAAGCCATTTTTGCCAGTCCTCGTTGCCTCTGTTTTGAATTTGTATAATAGACATTGTAATAACTGCTTGGTCCATAATAACAAAACTGTTGGGTGTAAGCTCATTAAATCGATCTCTAACACAAATTACCAACATAATGTTTCTACTGAATATGAGGAACAATATTGAGCCTTGGGCAGTCTGTGGGGCCACTTGCAGGGGGACTAGTATTTATCCCTAATGTTTAAACTGACATCTAGGAACCCATTCTCTTTGGAGGGATACTTTGCTTAGCCTAGCTATAGGGCAGAGAGACTTGGTCTTGCTTTGAAGTGAAGTGTCAGACTTTGTTGACTCCCCATGGGAAGACTTACCCTTTCTGATGAGTGGATGTGGGATGAGGAGGGGGAAAAGGTGGCACAGGAGAAGGGGAGGTAGTGGGTGGGAATGGGGATAGTTATGTAAAATGAGAAAAGATTGTATCAAAAATTGTAGAAGTTAGCTTGATTTGGGAAATAACCAGGCTAGCTAAAAGACAAAACAATTATGTTTTTATTTACTATAAAGGTAAAACACATAAAACAGGAACGAGAAGTCCAAGCTCAGCTGTGGTGCCAGGGAATCAAGAGAGAGAGAGAGAGAAAGAGCATTTGAGCCATGTGCCCATTTTTTTCTCAGAGTCCCAGAAAGCCACACACACACGAAGATAATTGGTTAAAAAAGCTTCCCCATAACCTCCCCCTTTTGTCTAAACAAAAGTATCCAAACCCAATACAAAACTATATACAATGGTAACAGATATCAAGTATAAAATTACAACCAACATAAACAATATTAAGCAAGGAACACATGACTAATGTTTTAATAAGCATTTTATTCCAAAGAGTCAAAGTCTTGCATTGGAAATAAACTTGGCTAAATCATAAGAGGAAGGTAACTGCAACTATTTAATCTTCAACTCCATAGAAGCCCTAAGAAGGGAGATATTTGAGTAGGCAGGCAGTGCAATCAAACAGCTTCTAAAGCAAACAGTATATGATGGAGACAATTGGCTATCTGAGCAATCATCCAAAGTCTCATGGACAACGTTGAAGCAACCAACTTTGGATAAGGTCTATCATAACTGGCAGACAATTTTTAGAGGCAGGAAATTGTTTAGAACTGTCTTACCCTGTCTTGGCAAGATTTGACAGTCCTTTTCCTTGTGTCCTGCTTATCCAATCCTGAGACCATGTGCTTTGTCAGTGGTTGAGGCATGGGCAGTTCCTTGCCCAAAGCTTAATTGTTTTAAGAAGAAAGCAAACTCTGAGTGGAGTGTCTTCGGTGCTCAACATTCTCTCAGATATAGATTGGTGCTGTCAAGAAAAATTATATCTCATGTCAACAGAATCCTAAGCTATTTAAATGTCATATTCTACAGATCCTTGAAGTGGTTGAAGGTTAGCTATCTGGGCAGAAGGCAATCTCTATGTATCTAAAAAACCTAAATAACCTGATTATATATATAACAAACATGAACAACTATTGACCTATAATACTTAATACCTGTGTAACTTAAAGACTAAGACTTCATGTCTGAATATTAAATAATCTGTAAACAAATGTGCAGCAAATAAGGACAATGACCTCAAAATGTAAACAATGTATAAGTATTTTGATCAGAGATAAGAATAATATATAATGCAATACGAAACTATATCCTAAAAGTTGTATCAATATACAAAATGTCCTAAACAGAGGTAGAAACATGCATATATATATATACAATTTGAAAGAATAACCTATGCAAAGTTATTCTTTCAAAAAACCTATGCAAAGTTATTCTTTCAAACTGTATATATACAGTTTGAAAGAATAACTTTGCATAGGTTAATAAATACTGTAAACAGGAATAACAAATATAATTTGAGCTTCTATCAATATACAAAAAAAACTATACCAATGTACCAATGTAAATTATATGTAAATAATAGCTCACAAGTATTCATTCTATTATCCACTATTATTATCCCTTTTAAAAAAAAAATCTCGGAACTTACATAGTTTCCACCCCAATCCTCTACCTGATACAAGTAATAATCAACAACCCCTAAATGGTATTCCCAACATTAAGGAGAAACATTTTTGGAAGAGGGTATGTTGTCCTCTAGAATTGCTTCCTGCTGTCATGGGGGCAATGTTCTCTTTATGGGATCCTGCAAAAGTAAAGTGATGGTTGAGTTTCAAGATTACTGTCTAGTAGAGGTGCAAATGATTTTCAAGCAGTTGGTAGGGTTTTTTCCAAAGTTCTTATTTGGAGTTCTTGCCAGAATGTCATGAGAAGGTGCACCATAAAAAATTCTTAGTTAAAAAAAAAATAAAAATAATTATAAGGGTTGGTGTGAGAGCTGAGTTCTAAAGTGCTTTCCTTGCAAGCTTGAAAATCAGAATTCAATTTCCCAAAACCCATGTGTGTTAGAGGAGGGGGGGTGAGAGAGCAGAGAGAAAGAAGAAAGAAGAGATAAGGGAAGAGAGGAGGGAAAGAAGAAAAGGAAAGAAGAAAGTGATTTGGTGTCAGGTACTAACAATCCTAGCTCATGGGAGATAAAGCCTTGATCACTGAAACTCACTAGACAGCCATTCAAGCCTACTTGATGAGTACCTGGCCAGGGAAAGACCTTGTCTCAAGAAGAGCAAGATGGACAATTCCTGAAGGAAAGCAATATAGGCTGTTCTCTGTCATCCACATGTATGCACTCCCAAATACACATGACCCCAATCCTATGTGCATATGCACACACAAGTGTATGCACATATGCTCAATCACACACACACACACACACACACACACACACACACACACACACACGTATTCAGTGAATAAGCAGATGTCAAGAAAACATTTGGTTTAAACAAAAATTCAAAGAAAAGAGAATGCTTATGTAACTTTTATTCTCCTGAGAGTCAAATATAATTCCTTTCTGGTTGATAGTATATTTACCAGTCTAGAAGAATCCCATTCATCCTTGATAACTATCAGGTTAAACTGATGTTCTCTAGGTGGAAACTGTCCACTTTTGAAGAAACCCCTTCTGAGTGATAGAAGGTGTATTTGTACACCCCAAGTCAAGTTCAGAAAGAGAAAATAAGATAAAGTTCAGATATTGTGTTTCTCACATCCCTTTCCTCCTCTGGCAGTAGCAGGTCCCATTCCAGAGCCTTTTACCATCAACTTTACTGTCACTAATCTGGAGTATGTGGATGATATGGGTCACCCAGCATCTAGGAAGTTCAATGTCACTGAGAGACTTCTGCAGAGCCTGGTGAGATACCCCCCCCCCCCAGTGTATAAAGGCCCACCCATAGATGGAAGCTGCACTCACCAAACCATGTCACAACCAAGAAGAAGGCCCTAACCCTAAATCCTCAGCATTGTTTTCATGCCTCTTACCTTTCTCCTCAGCTTGGAGCACTGTTTAGTAAAACCAGTGTTGGCCCCCTGTACTCTGGATGCAGACTAAAAATGCTCAGGTGAGACCTTATAATAATAGTCTAGGGGTTGCAAGATAGTACAGTCAATAAAGTACTTGCTGACCAAGCATGAGGACCTGAGTTTGATTCCCAGCACCCACCTAAAAAGCCAGTGATGATGGCATGTGCTTGTAAACCCAGCATTGGAGAAGTAGATACTGGAGGGTCCCTGGGATTGGCTGACCAGTCAACCTTCCAAAAATCAGTGATCCCTAGGTCTCATAGACAGACAGACATAGAGAGATTTATCTCAAAAAACAGATGGCTCCCAAGAAAGAATAAACACTCAAGTTATTCTCTAACCTCCATATACATACATAAGCACGAACACACACACACACACACACACACACACACACACACACACACACACTCACACACACACTGGACCAGGCAGTCTTTCCTCAAGTATTTCTAAACCACTTTAGTCAGCTTACCTTCTGTCTTTATGTCCTCAACTTTGGGGAATTTAAGACACGTACCACATTGCCTCCTCAGCTATCCCCAAAGCCTGCAAACCCCCACATACAGAATCCTAATACTCTTAATTCCTTCCTTTATCCCTGACTTTGGAATAAAGGAGGATTGCAGGTGCTGTTTTAAAGTTCAGTGCATAGGACTTCTCTTAAGACAATTTCCCACTCTCAATCCCAGTTTTCATCCATTGTAAATAGGAGCTCTCTAGACCCTGTGACATGAGGACATAGGTTTGAGTCTCTCAGTCTCACTCCATGTCTGCTCACGGCCACAAGGTAGCTACTAGAAATCAGTACATTCAGAGAAAGAAAGCCCATCTTTTCAGCAAATATACCAGATGCTCTGTTTCTTCTGGCCCTTTCCAGTCTTAAGACAGACACTTCTGGATCCCTCCCTAGGTAATCTATTTAATACCAATCCCCCTGTTTGCCCTTCCCAGGCCCGAGAACAATGGAACAGCCACAGGAGTAGATGCCATCTGCACCTATCAGCCCAACACCTCTAATGGAGGGCTGGACAGAAAGCATCTGTACTGGGAGCTGAGAAGACTGAACAAAGGCATCATGAAGCTAGGGCCCTACACCTTGGACAAGAACAGTCTCTATGTCAATGGTGAGCTATATTTCAGAGTCATGCTCCTTTCCTCCCACACCACTGCTTCTCAACCCCACCCCATTTCCACTCTTTTGTTGTTATCTATGAAGGTTATACGCAGCAGACTCTGGCCACCACCCACGGGAGTGAGTATCTTGAGGCTCCAGTATTCGTGAGTAAACCCAAGAACTGGAATCTCTATTCCATGCCTGAAATTCACCTTCATTTAGGGATGAACAGGGAAGGGGCCGCTTCCTTGTATTCCCCCATGCAAAGGTTCCCCAGTCAAAATAATTACATTGTTTTTGCTTTTCAGCATTAGTGATGGCTACTATTTCTGAAGGAATGCCAAACACTTCTTCGGCACCCACAGGTATGAATTCCCCTCTGTAGAGATTCTCCCAGTCATTTAAAAGATCGGCAGAGGGCAGATGAAAAATCCCAGAGGGTTCCAAATGGATCTCACAGGCTCTTCCAAGGTCACTGAGGAATCTTTAATTGTCAAACACTTCCCTAGCACCCTTTATCCTAAAGCATCCCTTAGAACCTACTTCTGAATTCTATTGGCCCTTAAGTTCTAAATCACCCAGCATTCCTGACAATGGTATATTTCATCAAGCCTGTTCACCGAGGGGATTTATTTAGTCTGTAGTAGCTGCTGTATGAGGAACAAGCACATTAAGCAATAAATATCTAGTCTATCTAGTAATCAATGAGTTTGTTTTAATAATTATTTTTGGCACTGAAGATATAGCTTAGTTGACAAAATGCTTGCCTAGCATTCATGAAGTTCTGCGCTCCAACCAGCATCACACAAATTGAGCAGTGAAGTTCTTGCTTGTAACTTGGGAAGTAGAGGCATAAGGACCAGGAGTTTAAGGTCACTGCTGGTCACATAGAGAATTTGAGGTTAACCTGGGCTACACAAGAAGCTAGAAAACAAAGGAAAGCAGGAAAGAAAAAAAAATCTTGTTAAATAAATTAAATAGAGAAGAGGTTATTCTTGCTAAATTACTAGTATGCCCCCAGTGTAAATGTGGATCAACTTCCTGACTACAGGAGTGCTGTCATATCTTTTTAGCAGAATTTTAAAGAATGATTTGTCCAAAATCTATGAACCAGTCATTTCTGGATTTCCTGCATTTCTTCCCCAACTATCCTAGAATATTTTCTTGTGGCAACTGCCAAAGATACCAGAAACATCTTTAAGTAGAGCAGGAAAACCCATCTGCTCACCACTCAGTTCGGTGCTTGTAAGCCACTTGTGTTTGACTCCAGTTCTGTGAACTGTGCAAACTGTGAACTGATGCCATAAAAGTTTGTATAAATTGTTTTCTCATTCCTGTGATAAAGTACCCAACAAGAAGCTGCTTTGGGGAGGAAGGGTTTGTTCTGGCTTACTGTTTGAAGGGCATTATCTGTCATGGCAGAGAACACACTGTAGTAGGAGCAGGAGGTTGACTGACCTTATTGCTTGTCAGGAATTAGAAGGAAATTGGAACTGAGCTTACTTCCTCCAGCAAGACTCCACCCCCTAAAGCTTCTATAACCATCCCAAGCAGTACCACCAGCTGTGCACGGAGAGTTCTAACACATGGGACTGTGGGAGAAATTTCTCCTTCAAACCCCAAGATTCCCAAAAATTAGATGGCTATAATACATTGTCATGTATTCAGGATCAGGGGTTGTATTGAAAACCAGCACTTGAAATGTCAAAAATATTAAAAATGGACTGGAGGGATGACATAACAGTTCAGAGGGCTGCTTCTCCAGAGGATCCACACTCAAGTTTAATTCCAGTTGCAGGGGATGCATTGCCTTCTCTGGCCTCAACAGCACCTGTATATATATATGGCACACATTCAGACACACACACACACACACATAAAGTAAGAGAAATAATAACACATTGCTAAAAATATAAAAAGAATTTAAATCCAACACACACTCTCACATATTCTCATTGGCTCGGTCTTTACATCTGTGAAATAGGAATTGCATCAACATCTCCTAATCCTATTAAGTGAATTGACACAGTCTCGAAAGGACAAATGTCATACCTTTCTATTATTTGTGATTCCTAGACTTTATGTAGTCACATAAAATTGTGAATATATATTATATACATACATATATAAAATAAAAGTAAAGTTTTCTGGGATAACAAAAGAGGCAAATGAGAGGAGATAATATGAAAAATGAAAGAGTGGGAGCATGTGGAGGAGATAAAGAAAATATTCAATGCAAAATATGTACCAAACTGTTTAAAGACTCATCATAATAAATCTTTAATTTCTGTTAAAAGATAACAAATTACATTTTCATCCAAAGGGATACGCTGTTCTGAGACACAAAAATCCAGAATGTGTTTCCTCCAAGAATTTTCTTATTTGTTTATATGTGTATGTGTACATTGCTTGTGTATTTGCACATGTGTACATATCTGTATGCATGCCATGCCATGTGTGCAGATTAGAGCACAACTGGAGGGAACTGATTTCTCTTTCTTCCACCATGTTAGTCCCAGGGATCATGCTTGAGCCATCAGTCTCGGCAGTAAGTGCCTTTACCCCCTGCACCTCCCACCGTATGTGTGGCTATTCTCATGTGTGCAGGCGCATGTGCAGGTTATAAGTCCATGCACGTGGAGGCCAAAGAGTCTGGATGACTCTTTACTTTATTTACTTTATTTTTATGTGTATAGTGTTTTTAATGCACGCCGTACCCTCAGAGAACAGAAGAGGTCATCAGATACTCTAGAACTGGACTTATTCATGGTTGTAAGCTACATTGTGGGCGCTGGGAACTCTGAAATAAAAACTACCAATAGCCTTAATTACTGAGCCATCTCTCCAGTCCTTTCATGGTTTTTAAGATAGGTTCTCACACTGCATATAAAGCTCACCAGTTCAATTAGTGGGCTCCAAGAATCTACTGTCTCTGCCCCTTCAGAGCTGTGGTGACAGACTCACACAACAGTGCTTGACTTTTTTTTTTTTCTTTTAACGTGGGTACTAGAAATCTGAGCTTGAATTTTCATGATTTTTTTAGCAGTCACATTACCAATTGATCTATCCTACTGATGTTTCATTTATACATTTTCCTTAGTCTTCTCATAGATTGAAACTAGTTAAGAATTGATTTATATAATAATTCAGTTTAGAACAGCTACTTAATTTCTATAACTAACCAATTGACTGGCAGGTTGTGTTAATATGTTTACCAAAAAAAGAATGGGTAAAGAAAAGGTACTCCATATGAACATTGGAACACTTCAGCAATAAAGAACAAATTATTTCAATTATAGGAACATGGATGTAACCAATACGTTGCGAATTAAGTTAGTCTCAAAAAAAAACTAATATCACATGTTTTCTCTTATTTGTGGTTCTTAGATTATATATGCATTTATATGTAATTGCACATGAGTAGATGACAAGAAACTTGAATGTTTCTGTCTTGGGCAACTGATGTAATAGGAGAGGGAAGAACAGAAAAGAGGAAGTAAGTGGCCTGTGCTTAGAAATGGTCACTGATAAGCACATTATAGGCTTGCATGAAAGTGGTCTTATATAAGTCAGCATAGTAAAATAAAAAATAAAAGAGAAAAATAGTTTACATTATAAAACTCAGAAGCCATGATTATAAGTATGATAGCTCCCTGGAGGGACAGATAAGCTTCCATTCTGCTTCATGGTGAAGTTACCTCTCAACTACAGTCCGATTTCTCCTTGGTAATTAAATTGAAGCTGTTGTGATGTCTCTTCCCCCGAAAACAAGTGTGCTTCCTACAGGAAAGTATCTCTACAGTGCTTGAATATGCGCATGCATAGCTGTTGCTCCATACTGAAGTCTAGAGAACAATAAGAGGTTGAGCACATGTCTTCCTCTAATCCCCTCTGCAGCTGCAGGCCCTGTCCTGGTGCCTTTCAGCATCAACTTCACCATCATTAACCTGGAGTTTGAGGAGGAAATGGGTCACCCTGGATCCAGAAAGTTCAATATCATGGATAGAACCCTGCAGAACCTGGTGAGAGTCCTGCTTTCTTCATCTAGCCCCACCAACTGGCCATGCCATGCCCTGCCCACCTCATCCTGACTATACATATGCAAATCCCACTCACAATGCCTGCTTTGCTCAGTTCTCTTCTGTCCTGACTTTATCCCTCACAGCTTCTCCTCACCTTTCTCCTTTCTCCACAGCTCAGGCCCTTGTTCAATAAAACCAGTGTTGGTCTATTGCATTCTGGCTGCAGGCTGATCTTGCTCAGGTGAGTCTTCAGAATAGCAGGCTGGAGTTGCTTAAAGTGCTCTCAGTCCAAGGATTGTGTTCAAATTCCTTGCTGCACTTCTGAATGTCTTATGCACAAGTGAATTTGGGAGGTACCATATCTCATACCAAAATGTCTCCTGATTCTATCGCTTGTCCCACAATTCATCAACAGATTGGAATACCTTCTGTTCTTCCATTTTGAATTTCCTCCTTCTTCCCCTTACTTAGAATAAATGAACATTTCCTATGAATTTTGAAGTTGGCCCACATGGTTTGTCTTAAGACAAATATGCTCTTTTTGCTCCCTAATGTTGACCTTTGGTGCCCCAAACGTTATTCTTCAAACGTCTCACTTGTGACCTCTCCTTTTCCCATAACATACCCTTGTTTATTTGATTCTTGCAATTGACAATAATTCTGGACTCACTGCCTGCTCAGGGTCACACATTACCGGCAGTCAATATGATAGAAAATCTACAACTGACTTTGTAAGTCTCTATCAGGTATTTCTGCTCCTCTGAACCCTTCATGTGCGGCACCAGGCATTTCTGGATCCCTCTTTAAGCAGCCAGTTTATCACCATTCTCCTCATCTACCCTTCCCAGGGCTGAGAAAAATGGAAGTGCCACAGGGGTGGATGCCACCTGCACCCACCACCTAGACCCTGCTGGCCACAGGCTGGAAAATGAGCAGATATATGGGGAGATAAGCAGTCTGACCCAGGGTGTCACCCAGCTGGGCCCCTACATCCTGGACAAGAACAGTCTCTATGTCAATGGTGAGCAACAGTCATCTGTGCTTTGCCGTATTGTGGAGCCCATACCCTCCTTTCCCACTCCTTCTTTCCCTCAGTTCCACTAGAGTTCAAATCTCCTGTTGTCCATGTAGGTTACACACACCAGATCCTGGCTACCACTCCCAGAAGTGAGTATTCTAAGTTTCCTTAATTGTCTACCACACCTATCCCTATACCCAGCCCTTTGAAATGAAAAAAAAAAATAGCCTATTGTCTCCATTCCACTCTTCAACTAACCTGCAGCCTGAGGTGTACAGCACTTTAAACCCTAGCAGAACCCAGACTGGGACACCCTAGTGTCATCCACAGATGATGTCTTCAAATGGATGTCTTTTCCCCCCACAGTGTCCATGGTGAACATTGTTTCTTCAACTATGCCAGCTCCCATCTCCAATCTCACAGGTAAAATTCTCTCTGAAAATGCTTCTGGTGACTTCTGTAATCACAGGAGGCAAGATGATGGGTAGAGTAGTATGTTAAAGGGGATCCTAAGGTTGACCCTTGGTGGATGAGAGGGTCCTCAAAGGTCCGAGAATTCTCAGCTAATTCTCAGGTGTTTCCCACCCCAGAATCAAGCTTCCAAAGCCATTCTCAGGTTCCTGTTTCCTAATGTAGGTGTCTACAAATTTCTAAATCTTTCTCAAACTCTTGGAAGAATTTTAAATAGCAGACCAGTTAGCCAAGAAGAAATTTGTGCAGGAAGCAATGTATAAAAACAGCAACTCAGGATTTTATCAGCCTCCTAGTTTGACCCACTTGACCAAATGATCAAGAAGTCTATATGTCTCTTTCTCTCTCCCTCTCCCTCCCTCCGTCCCTCCCCCCTCTCTGTTTGTATGTATACATGCTTGTATTGTTAATACTTGTAAAAGCCAGAGTTGAGTCTCTGTTATTTATCTTCAGGTGTCATCTTGGAAATATAGTGCTGAGGGGTGGTTTAATAAGTAAATGTTTCTTAATTAAGCATGAGGATCATAGTGTGGGCTCCCAAGAACCCATATTAAATCTGGGTGAGCATAGCAGCCTGCCTGTCTCCAAAAAGACTGAATAGCCAGATGAGCAGAAACGGCAAGTTCTGGATTGTCTTTGAGAGATCTTGCCACAATATATAAGATAGACTGATTGGAGAAGACACCTAACATCAACCTTGGCTCTCATACATGTGTACACACATGCCCCACATGTATGCAAACACACATACATATATGCACACCACACACCCATACGTATGACAAAACAGATAAATTCTATGGCTCTAAAGGCCTTTTCTTACCAGAGCTCTCTGACCCAAGGTCTTACTCTGAGCTGATAATTGATCCTGCTTGGAGGAGTGAGCAAACATGGCAATGTTGCATGGATAAAGCTATGTAGAGCTGCCATGTTGTTGCATGAAGGGGATCAACAGTAAAAGAAGGGAATTAATCCAAAGCAGTGATAGAGGCATCTGTGATCTACCAGTAGCCACACAACTGAAGAGCTTGTCTTTCCCACCACCCCCAGAAACTCTTACTTGCAATAGCTCCTCAGAACCAGATGGGCTAGTGAGCCCCTCCTCCATTCATGTTAGAACTTCGCTAGGCCCACTCTTGGATGGGTGAAAGCAGCTGTGAGTTAAGTGCTGCCGCCATGTGGTGTCCTGAAGACCATATCCTACAGGGCTCTTCCCCATCCTGCTCTTACCTTCCGTCTTCCTGCACTTCTGTGATACTACCTTGGCTTTTCAGGAGGTGATATAGATAGCTGTTCTATTCATATCTAATTACTGAACACTTATTCTCAGCACTTTGACTAGTTAAGAGTCCCTGTAGTAACTGCTGTCTGTTGCAAAACATGCTATCTTACCAAGGCTGAAAGCACATTGATATTGATATTTTAATTGCCATCAGTGTTTAATTACTATTATTTGTATCATTCAAAATAAGTTGGTTTTTTTTTTTATTCTGGTAGAGACATCCTGAACTGTTGCCCTAGATATGAATACATGGATCACAGTGATATGAATATAGACTGTGTCCTAAACCCTAGATCTAATTCCGATATGACTCAGGACTTAACTTCTCTCCTAATCTAATTACAGCCTCAAGCTCTGCTCCACTGCTGTGCACTCTTAACTTCACTATTACCAACCTACCATACACGGAGGATATGTGGGGCCCAGGGTATGCCAAGTTCAACAAAGTGGAGAAAGTCCTGCAGCTTCTGGTGAGACTCCTGCTCCCTTCCCTCGCCTCACCCACTCCATCACCTTTGGTCTTGCTCCCCCACTCCAGCCTTAGCTGCCCCCTTCTTGCCCCACTCACCCATTAAAGCCTCATCCACTTCTCTTTCTTGTTTTACTGACCATCCACCACATGCATCCCTTGTGTTATATTCATGATACTCTGCCTACCTTCAGCCTTGCCTACTTAAGGCTCACCTGCTCTCTCTGGTCACACCCTCTTCCTCCGCATAGCACACTGGTACTCCATCCACCCACTCCACTTCTGCCTTCTTGTCCCACTCACTGGTGTCTCTTTTAGCTCTTCAAGTGTAGCCCTCCTGTATCTAGTTCTAGGCAGTGATGATCGGCCCATCTGCTCCATCCGTACCCATGCCCCTCTGCTACTTCACCAACTAATGCCCACACACGTTTCTTTTCTTTTCTTTATTTTTTAAATTTATTTATTTATTAAAGATTTCTGCCACCTCCCCGCCACCACCTCCCATTTCCCTCCCCCTCCCCCAATAAAGTCCCCCTCCCTCATCAGCCCAAAGAGCAATCAGGGTTCCCTGCCCTGTGGGAAGTCCAAGGACCATCCACCTCCATCCAGGTCTAGTAAGGTGAGCATCCAAATTGCCTAGGCTCCCACAAAGCCAGTACGTACAGTAGGATCAAAAACCCATTGCCATTGTTCTTGAGTTCTCAGTAGTCCTCATTGTCCACTATGTTCAGCGAGTGCAGTTTTATTTCAGGCTTTTTCAGACCCAGGCCAGCTGGCCTTGGTGGGTTCCCGATAGAACATCCCCATTGTCTCAGTGTGTGGGTGCACCCCTCACGGTCCTGAGTTCCTTGCTCGTGCTCTCTCTCCTTCTGCTCCTGATTTGGACCTTGAGATTTCAGTCCAGTGCTCCAATGTGGGTCTCTGTCTCTGTCTCCTTTCATCGCCTGATGAAGGTTAATATTCAGGAGGGTGCCTATAGGTTTTTCTTTGGGTTCACCTTCTTATTTAGCTTCTCTAGGATCGTGAATTATAGGTTCAATGTCCTTTATTTATGGCTAGAAACCAAATATGAGTGAGTACATCCCATGTTCCTCTTTTTGGGTCTGGCTTACCTCACTCAGGATAGTGTTTTCTATTTCCATCCATTTGCATGCAAAATTCAAGAAGTCCTTGTTTTTTACTGCTGAGTAGTACTTTAATATGTATATATTCCATACTTTCTTCATCCATTCTTCCATTGAAGGGCATCTAGGTTGTTTCCAGGGTCTGGCTATTACAAACAATGCTGCTATGAACATAGTTGAGCATATACTTTTGTTGTATGATAGGGCCTCTCTTGGGTATATTCCCAAGAGAGGTATTGCTGGGTCCAGGGGTAGGTTGATCCTGAATTTCCTGAGAAACCACCACACTGCTTTCCAGAGTGGTTGCACAAGTTTGCATTCCCACCAGCAATGGATGAGTGTACCCCTTTCTCCACATCCTCTCCAGCAAAGGCTATCATTGCTGTTTTTTATTTTAGCCATTCTGACAGGTGTAAGATAGCATCTTAAAGTTGTCTTGATTTACATTTCCCTGATCGCTAAGGAAGTTGAGCATGACCTTAAGTGTCCTTTGGCCATTTGAACTTCTTCTGTTGAGAATTATCTGTTCAGCTCAGTGCCCCATTTTATTATTGGGTTGATTAGCCTTTTACGGTTTAGTTTCTTGAGTTCTTTATATATTTTGGAGATCAGACCTTTGTCTGTTGCGGGGTTGGTGAAGATCTTCTCCCAGTCAGTGGGTTGCCTTTTTGTCTTAGTGACAGTGTCCTTTGCTTTACAGAAGCTTCTCAGTCTCAGGAGGTCCCATTTATTCAACGAGGCCCTTAATGTCTGTACTGCTGGGCTTATACGTAGGAAGTGGTCTCCTGTGCCCATGTGTTGTAGAGTACTTCCCACTTTCTCTTCTATCAGGTTCAGTGTGTTCCGACTGATATTGAGGTCTTTAATCCATTTGGACTTGAGTTTTGTTCATGGTGATAGATATGGATCTATTTTCATTCTTCTACAGATTGACATCCAGTTTTGCCAGCACAATTTGTTGAAGATGCTCTCTTTTTTCCATTGTATACTTTTAGCTCCTTTATCGAAAATCAGATGTTCATAGGTTTGTGGGTTAATGTCAGGGTCTTCTATTCGATTCCATTGGTCGACTTCTCTGTTTTTATGCCAATACCAAGCTGTTTACAATATTGTAGCTCTGTAATAGAGTTTGAAGTCAGGGATGGTAATGCTTCCAGACAATCCTTTATTGTATAAGATAGTTTTTAATTCTGGTAGAGACATCCTGAACTGTTGCCCTAGATATGAATACATGGATCGCATTCCAATTCTTCCTATACCTCCCTAACCACATCTACTTACTGCTTGTCTGTGAATTGAAGAATTGCTCATCTGCCTTTCCCCACCCCTTCATTACAGCCCCACTAAAACTCCCATCTTGTTATACTTACTCGTACCTACCACATAGGTCTTGCTACCTTTTGCCCCACTCACTCTTTTCAGCCTTGACAACCTCTTGTTTTGCCAACTGATAACCTACCCACTCTATCCCTATCTACCTTTCTTACCCTTATCATTGGTGATGTATTCACATCCCTTGCACTAGCCATAGTTCTTCTATTCACCTGCTCCAGCCACACTAATTTCTTAATTCCCAATCCATTCACTAACCCCCGCCCCTGTCTCACACTGCATACTTCCCCCTCTTGTCCTTCATTCTGGTATCTGCCCACATCGGTACTGGGCCCACCCATCCCAACCCTTCCTACTTTTTTCTTGTTACACCCACTAGTTCCTCTTCCATCTCTCTTATCCCCAATCATCCCTTTCTTGACACAGTCACTGAAGGCCTACCAGCTCACTCTAGTTCTGTCCTCTTTCACCTGCCCAACAGTCCAACTAAAACCGTGACCACTTGCCTTTATTACCCTGCCACTGGTCCACACCCACATCCTTTATTCCACACTCAAGAGTACCCTTGCTACAGATTTTAACTGATTTACATCTCTGCAGCCTCTCTCACATTCCCAGTCTCATTCACATCCCCACTTGCCACACCCACTGTCTCCCCATCCCACCTCTTCTACAATCTCACTTCTCTCCTGCCCTCTCCCCCTTTTCCATACCCAGACTGTATATTTAACTGAGTCCTCTCTTTTCTTCGCAGCTCAAATCTTTGTTCCAAAAAAGCAGCATTGGCCTACTGTATTCTGGTTGTAGACTGACTTCACTCAGGTGAGACCTATAGAGAAAACCACCCAGGAAAACATGATGAAGTTTCTACATACACTTCTCTATGACTAGGTCTTCCTTTTGGCCTCAACCTTTTTGCAGCCCCTGGGTTAGGCCGGATTTTATACTCTCTCATTCTTAAATCTCTCATATAGTTTGTATTAGTTTCTATCACAGAAACAAACAAACGAAACCAAATCCAAAAAAACAAAACAAATCCATGAAATAATTAACTTACAAAGAAAAAGGGCTTTTTGATAGTTTGATTTTTGTTGGCTTGTTGTTGTTGTTTTTGAAGCTTGCAACAATTTAGTGTGTTTCCTTGAACTTGTTATTCTCTTGTCTTTACCTCTTGAGTGCTGGGATTACTGGTCTATAATACCAGGCCCATTGTATATGGTGGTAGAAAAATGGTACTCAAAGTCTCATGCATACTAATTACATCAGCTCTCTACCAACTGAGCTACATCGCAAACCTAAGAGAAAAGTTTAATTTTGATCACAGTTTTAGAGTCATCTTTATCCACAATCAGATGGATTATAGTTTTTGACTCATGGAGTGTCAACAGACCTAAATTAACCTTGTCCAGGCAAAAAGTAAAAGTGAGAAAGATGAGCAAGCTGCAGTCTTACAGTTTTCTTGACAACACACCCTATAGTGATCTAAAGACCTTTCATTCAGCTTCAACATTCCCCCATCCCAGTAGCTCCCCCTAGGGATCATGCCTGTACAGTGTGAACACCTAGGGGATACTTAACATTTAAATGCAGAACAGTATTTCTTCATAACTTATTTGGTTGTTCTTTCCAAGGGAGCACAACTATTCCAATGCCCTTAATTGAAGACCAGTCCTCCCCAATTTGTGAAAATCATTGTCTTTAAGCATACAGCCTTGGAAGGGATGTACATGGGTGCTGATGGAAGAAGTGAATACCTGTTTAACCAAACAAATCATCCAAATCAATCCTGGTGATAAGTGGAATAACAGTAACAGATGGTTATATCCAGATGGTCCTCATATCCCAGCATAGTTTCTTGTGATTAATATTGCAAAACCACTAGAAATTATGAATGAAACTCTTTCATAAGGGACATACTCTATCCTTTACAAAAAGATGTTCTACTCTTTTTATGTAGATTCCAAGAATTATTCAACTGTTCCTGATGGCTCACACACAACAAGCAGTTAGCATGTTTCAGACACTAGGGTATAGGAAAGAGAAATTGCCAAATTGCCATTATTATATGTGGCTGTTCTATGTACAGTAGGATATTTAATAGTATTATATTAATCAGAATTCTCCAGAGGAGAACCAGCTATCCATGGAAAGTCAGAATAGGGTACTGAAGCTATAGGCTGCTGTGATATGGCATGTGAGTGCTGGAACCTCTAGAAGATCAGTAAGTGCTTTTAACCACCAAGCCATCTCTCCAACCACTATTATTTTGTGTTTTAAATATGTATTTTGGGGCGATCATTTACATATGTATTTTATTGTCATATCCATCCCTTATTTTCCCTATCCAGATATCCCCCAACATGTATCTTACCCAACTTTATAACCTCTACTTTTCTTTACTTTATGCCTCTATGTCCAACTAGTAATGTTCATATGTGCATGAATATGGGGCCACCTGCTAGTAGCTATACCATCAAAGAAAACTGACTACTTCTCTAACCACCATCAACTACCATAGTGCCTCCCCTTGTAATGACTGCTTATGAGCTACTCCCCATCCACTCTAGAGGTGTGACTGGCTTGATCTTATGCAGATTTTTTAAAAAGCCAATAACATCACTATGTCTATTTTGTAGATGGGCAAATGAAACCACGAGATAATATTGAAAGATTTGAAGATTAGGAAAGTATAGGAATTAAGGAGAAAATGAGAGATTACATCTCATGCTTCGAGATAGGTATATAATGACCAAGAAATCAGAGAAAAAAAAAGCAGTTAGAGAAAAGCTTAGAAAAGTGTAGTGAGAAGGCCACTTGTTTGTTCCTGGCTGCTCAGCCCCAAAATAACCACATAGAAACTGTATTAATTAAATCACTGGTTGGCTAATAGCTTAAGAGTATTTCTGGCTAACTCACATCTTAAATTAACCCACTTTCATTATTTTATTTTATATTTTATGAAAAGGGATATCTGGGATGATAGAGGGTTGAGGAGACAGAACTGATGGGAGAAGAAGCACTAAAATGCACTTTGTTAGATAATTTCATAATGACATATAACCCTGTAGTTATTTATTATTTCTAAAATATTGAAAATGGTTCAGTGAGGTGATAGCACTTGATACTCTTCTAAAAGACCCACATTTGATTGTCAGCACCAATCAGGAAGCTCACAAATTCTATCAAGGAACTTCTACAACTCATAAACATTTTCAGTAATGTAGTAGGATACATGAGATTAACTCAAAAAAATTAGTAGCCCTCCTGTACACAAATGATAAATGAGTTGAGAAAGAAATCAGAGAAACATCACCCTTCAAAATAGCCAAAAATATCATAAAATGTCTCAGAGTAACTCTAACCAAACAAGTGGAAGACATGTATGACCAGAACTTTAAATCTTTGAAGAAAAAATTTAAAGAACACACCAGAAAGTAGAAAGATCTCCCATGCTCTTGCGTAAATAGAATTAACATAGTAAAAATGGCAATCTTACCAAAGATTCAATGCAATGCCTATTAAAATCCCAGCAAAATTGATCACAAACCTTGAAAGAATGGTACTCAACTTCATATGAAAAAGCAAAACACCCAGGATAGTCAAAACAATCCTGTACAAAAAAACAAAAAAATTCTGGAGGCATCACAATCCCTGTCTTCAAACTCTACTACAGAGCTACAGTTCTGAAAACAGCTTGATATTGGCATAAAAACAGACAGGAGGACCAGTGGAACTGAACCTCAGGTCCAAATGAATCAAAGACATCAACATAAAGCCAGTCACACTGAACCTTATAGGAGAGAAAATGGGAAGTGCACTTGAACACATTGGCACAGGAGACCACTTCCTAAATATAACCCCAGAAGCAAAGACATTGAGAGAAACAATTAATAAATGGGACCCCATTTTAATTAATAAAAGCTTCTATAAAGCAAAGGACACAGTCATCAAGACAAAACAACAGCCTACAGAATGGGAAAAGTTCTTCACTAACCCTACATCAGACAGAGGTCTGATCTCCAAAATATACAAAGTACTCAAGAAATTGGTCATCAGAAGAACACATAATTCAATAAAAAAAAAATGGAGTGCAGACCTAAACAGAGAACTCTCAACAGAGGAATCTAAAGTGGCTGAAAGACACTTAAAGTAATGCTGAACATCCTTAGCCATCAAAGAAATGTAAATCAAAACAACTCTGAGATTCCATCTTACACCTGTAAGAATGGCCAAGATCAAAAACACTGATGACAACTTATGCTAGAGAGGTTATGGTGAAAAAGGAACACTCCTGCATTGCTGGTGGGAATGCAAGATGGTACAACCCCTTTGGATGTCAGTGTGGCGATTTCTCAGAAAATTAGGAAACAACCTTCCTCAAGACCCAGTAAAACCACTTTTGGGTATATATCCAAAGGATGCTCAATCATGCCACAAAGACATGAGCTCAATTATGTTCATAGCAGCATTGTTTGGCATAGCCAGAAACTGGAAACAACCTAAATGCCCTTCGATTGAAGAATAGATAAGGAAAATGCGGTACATTTACACAATGGATTACTACACTGCAGAAAAAAATAACGACATCTGGAATTTTGCAGGAAAATGGATGGAGCTATAAAAAATCATTTTGTGTAAGGTAACTCAGATACAGAAAGACAATTATCACATGTACTCACTCTTAAGTGGTTTTAAAACATAAAGCAAAGAAAACCAGCCCACAAATCACAATCCCAGAGAACCTAGACAACAATGAGTACCCTAAGAGAGACATACATAGATCTAATCTGCATGGGAAGTAGAAAAAGACAAGATCTCCTGAGTAAATTGGGAGCATGGGGACTTGGGAGAGGGTTGAAGGGGAGGAGAGAGGTAGAGATGGGAGCAGAGAAAAATGTAGAGCTCAATAAAAATAATAATACAAAAGTATTCTCTCTTCTCCAGTAGCTATTGACTGCTGATAGTTCCACAGCAAAGGGTAAGATCCTCATATACAATAGAAGTTTTGCTGACTTGATTCTTCTTTTATGCAAGTAAACACAGCTTCAGTGAGTTCATAAGTCTAGTAGCCACATCATGTCCAGAAGACAGTATTTTACAGGATTCATCCCCAACTTCTAGTTGTTACTTTCTTTCTGCCTCTGCTTGTTCGATATTGCCCAATACTTGATTTAAGAAGGGGTTACTGAAGATGTATAATTAGGAGCAAATACTCAGTCTCTTAATCTCTACTAAGCCATACCAGACCTCTTATTCCTGATGGCCTCTTTGTATGTCACTCCAACAATTCTCAAGACCATTTATGATTATCACTTTTACTCTGTCTCCATAGTCCCAGGAAGAACGGAGAAGCCACTGGAGTGGAAACAGTTTGCACCTATTACCCTGACCACACAGGTCATGGCCCGGCTAGAGAGCAACTGTACTTGGAGCTAAGCAAGCTAACCAATGGTGTCACTAAGCTGGGCCCCTACACTCTGGATCGAGACAGTCTCTATGTTAATGGTGAGGGATGAGTATTGCTCATTTTTCTTTTTCTGTAACAAAACACCTTAGAAAGACAATTTAAGGAAAAGAAGGTTAATTTGGCTCAGAGTTTGAGAAAAGATGTAGTGCTCCATGGCACAGAGGGCATGGGCAAGGAGACAAGAATGCTGGTGTGCGCTTTACTTTCTCCTTTTTATTCACTTCAGGGCCTAAGGCCATGGAATGGTACTACCCATATTCAGGGAGCATCTTCCCTGCTCAGTTAAACTCCCCTGGAAATGTCTTCACAGACACGTCCAGGTGTGTCTCAGGGGTTATTTCAAACCCCATCAAACTGACAGCCAAGCTTACACATTGCAGGCTGTTTACCTTTATTGCTGCTCAGCAAGCCACATCTACTTCTTATCTCCTTTCTACCTGATCCTAGACTTTTCCCTCCATCTGTGCAGCTTATGCCCACCAGATCTTATTAACTACCTCCAGCAGCAAGCTTTCAGATGTCTGTAAAGTTTGAAATTTTCTACCATATACAACCTAGACATTGGAAATGAAGGGGTCCATGAACCTACTGTCTCTACACCATACCTTCACCCTATCTCCACCCTTGAGTGAGCAGAGATCTCTTCCCTGCTATTGTTCCAGATATAAGCACTTCTTCTCAGGAAAATGGAGTTCCCAACCAACCACTTAGGGTACTTCCTCCCTAGTTTTTACAATAGGAGCTCCCACTTCAACACAAAAGGTCTTGTTTGAATGTGAGTTCTTTCTGCCTGCCTGGGTGAGTTCTGTGGCTAAAGGTAAGTTGCAAACATAGTCTGAAGTAAAATTGGAAATAACATCTTTCTAAAGACAAACTTAGAAACTCTAGTAATTTAAGAGAGCTTGGTTCATGTCAAAAGTTGCCTTTTTGTTGACAATCTCTCTCTTCCCTCATTACCTTTCCATGTCTCTATAGGTTACACCAATCTAACCTCAGATATGATCCTGAACAGTGAGTATTACAGAAATCTACATGCCCCTGGTTGCCTCCCATCTCCTGAAATATGAAAATATGGATAAGCCAGGGCTTGAGAGATGGCTGAGTGGTTAAGAGCACTGGTTGCTGTTCCAGAGGTCCTGAGTTCAATTCCCAGCACCCACATGGTGGCTCATACCCATCTGAATGAGATTTGGTGCCCTCTTCTGGCATGTAGGCATACATGCAGAGGAACACTGTATACATAACAAATAAATAAATCTTTTTTTTAAAACAAAGAATATATCGATAAGCCAACCTTTTTTTCTACTATCCAGTTTAACTGATCAGGATTTCAAAAAGATTTATGAAAATATAGACTAAAATAGAGATAGTAAGGGTCACCCACCCTTCCCCAAAGCACACAACCCAAGGGTGATATCAAATTTCAAACAATAGATGCCATAAAACAAAACACAGATTCTTCGAAATAGGCATCCAGGTTGCAGCCATTCCTTAAAGATGTATCACAATTTGTATTTCATTCCTCATCTTAGGTTGTTTTTTTTTGTTTTTGTTTTGTCTTAGCAACTGTGACTACCACATCCTTCCCAACTTCCTCTCTGACTCCATTATCTACAACTAATTCCACAGGTAGGAAAGGATGCATGTTCTTATTGGTACCAAAAAGGCAAACAAACCGTTTCTTTTATCGAGGCTCATCTACTTTGCAGTGAAGACTTTGTTTTTCATTCTGCAAACTAGTTACTCAGGGTCCAAATTCTGATACCAGTCAGTACCACAAAGGAGCTCCTGAACATTGGTCTACATACTTCCGAGATGTCACTGAGTTCTCTTTGACCACTAACTTACTTTGTATTTGTTACTATGATAAAATAGCCTAATCAAAACAACTCAAGGAAAGAATGAAGGACTTATTTTTATCTTTTTAAGATACAGTCCATCAGAGAGTTAAAACAGCAGGAGCTTGAAACCTTTGGTCACATCACATTCACAACTAGAAAACAGATTCATGAGTACACATTAGTGCTCCAGTGCCTTTCTCCATTTTATACATTATAGGATGCCATATCCAGGGAAATTCGGTCCTGCTCATAGTTAAAATGTGTTTTCCCATATCAATTTATATGAACAAGATAGCTCTACACAAGTTTGCTAAGCCTATTTCCCAAGTGATGCTAGAGTCTATCAAATTGACCATCAACAGTAACCATCACAACCACTCATCCTGAAGATAAAATTGTCCTCCAAATATAACCATTCTTCTCATAATTACCAAAAGCACAGGCAGAGTGCTCACCCATCCTCGTGCTCACCTCCCACATCCAACGGTCACCGAATCTCATCTTTTGGCCCTTTGGGGACACTCTCAAACTTTTTCTTTCTCTGTATCTATATCATTTAGAGTTTATTGATATCAGCATGTTTTTCCTAGAAAGATGTACCAGCTTATTCTGGCTTCCTAATGTCTCCCAAGTAGCAGCTACAACATTCTTTATGACGTGATTGTATCTATAGAATTCCTTTCTTCTAAATAACATTCAAGGGGTTCTTTTTGTTCTATGAGTCACATTCAAGGCTTTGCGTTATTTAACCATTACCTCTCTGGAGTAAGCTCAGAGGTTCCTGCAAATCTCACACCTGTACTTCCCTCTGGAAATAGTGAAGTAATTTTAAGTTTCTTTAACTCACTATGCACTCTTCTGGAGTGTTCTCCTTATTGCTTAGATTCTAGCAACTCTTTGCCATGCTTTTTGTCATCTCTGAAATAATGCTTTCTACAAAGAGCTTTTTAGAGTCATTAGTTGGGTCACTAATTTTCCTATCTGCCCTTCTACTAACTTCTCGTAAATTATAAAGTTTGATAACTTCCCTAGAATATACTTTAGGTGATGATTCCTTATTCATCTTTGGACCTAAGGGGTTGGTGACAGAACTTTTTGCACATTAATCATTCCTGGATGCAAGAAGAAAGGCTCCAATTCTAATGTTTTAACACGTCCAGAATGTCCCCTGCTTCAAAACCTGTTAGTCCAACAATGCCACACAGAATTAGAAGCAGCCTTGGCCAATACCAGTTCTAAATCTAAATGTCTCTATTTCCCCACTGCTATAGTTGTTGGTACTATCATGGTACCCATCACTCTCAACTTCACCATCACCAACTTACACTACACAGAGGAGATGGGACATCCTGGTTCCTTGAAGTTCAACTCCACCAAGCGGATCTTACATTATTTGGTGAGTCCTTCCAAGAATCCCACTAACTCTACCTTACAACTCCCTGGTAAAGTCTCATCTATATATTTTCTAACTATTTATTTTTTTCAATCAGCTTGACACCTTGCTCAATAAGACCATCATTGCCACACACTACTTTGGATGCAGACTGGCTTCACTCAGGTGAGACCCCTAGAGGGAGTGGACTGTCCTGAAGCAGCCAGCAGAGACCATGTGCTTCTATCATCATGTTTTAGCCTCTACCCTGACTCTCTAACACATTCTTCCTAGCCAGAGTAGAAATAGAGGACATACTGAGCAATTAGTAAATTACTAATAGGAATTGTTTAGCCTAGATAATTCAAATGACGTTCTACTTAAAATGGGGGTTCTCTTAGAAGAACTGAATTTCCTGTATTCAGCATAAGCAAAAAATTTTAGAAAGGGTTAGAGAGATGGGTCATTTGATAAAGTGCTTCGCATAGAAGCATAAAAGTGACCTCAACCCCCAGAGTCCACATAAATAAGCTAGGTGTGGTGGCAAACATCTGGAAACCCAGCACTGGTCACAAGAGAAACCCTGATTCAGCAATGTGAAAGAACTAACTCCTGGAAGAGGCAGGCAGAGGACTAGAGCTCACTGGTCAGCCAGCATAACCTAACTGGAAAGCCACAGGTCCCAATGAATGACGCTATATCAAAACAATATAAAAGACAATGAAAAATAATGCAGGATGCAGGGCTGGCAAAATGGTTTAGTGCACAAAAGCATTTGCAATGCAAGCTTGATGATGAGTTTGATTCCCAGAACCAATACACAAAATGTCTGATTTAGTGGCATGCATCAGTAATCCTAATACTCCTGCAATGAGGTGGGACGCAGACACAGAGGAATGGCTCAGCCACCTAGCCTGAGTATGTGGTGCAGCAGAAAATAGAGAGACCCTGATTCAGCAATGTAAGATAGCAGATGCCTGGAAGCTGTCCTCACATCCAAGGTTGCTTATCTGAGTCTAATCACATGCGCGCGCGCACACACACACACACAATTATTTCTGATCCCAGTGTCTAAAGGACACTTTAAAACGTTTAAAGGACTTTTAAACTTTATAACTATTCCCTTCATGATCTTCAGCCTCCTCCCTCCTGCCCCCTGTATTCAATGCTCCAAATGCTCTAGAACTGACCTCGGTGTTCCAATGCCTCATGCGTTTCTTCCAGGTCAGACAATCATGGAGCAGCCACAGGTGTAGACATAATCTGCACCTTCTTCTCTGACCCCATGAGCCCTGGATTAGTCCAAGATCAGCTATTTTGGAAGCTGAGCCATGAGACACATGGCATCACCCGTCTGGGCCCCTATACCCTGGACCAGAACAGTCTCTACATAAATGGTGAGATCCCACATTTAAGCCATGAGCTTTCCCCCACTTAGAGTCTTAGGTTTTGCTAAAGTATTGACCAATTCATCCCTTTTTCTAGAATGATCTTTGTCCCATTTTCCTTCCTTTTGTGTCTGTGTTCTCTCTTTGTTGTGATGACTCAAAACACCATGAGAAAGTGGGTAGAATGCTTGCTTTGAATGAATAGGGTTCTTGGTCCCATCCATATTCCAGTTTCACTTCTGAGAACCACTTCGAAGTTGTCTGGTCAAGAGCAAGTGTAAAACCTTCACAGAGGGCCGGGCGGTGGTGGCGCACGCCTTTAATCCCAGCACTCGGGAGGCAGAGGCAGGCGGATCTCTGTGAGTTCGAGACCAGCCTGGTCTACAGAGCTAGTTCCAGGACAGGCTCCAAAGCCACAGAGAAACCCTGTCTCGAAAAACCAAAAAAAAAAAAAAAAAAAGAAAGAAAGAAAGAAAGAAAAAAAAAACCTTCACAGAGTCAATGACTAGCTCTACCCACCTTCAGTCCATTGCCTCATTAGTTGTTTCCTCCTTCTTTTCTTGCCTTTTCCTCTGTTTTTAACCCCACAGACTGCATTCTCCTTTCCCATTAGTCCTTGATAATTCATTCTTACGTCCCTCACTTTTTCTTTCTTTACAGATTACCACTTTGGAACTGCATCCCCAGCTAACATTAGTGAGTATTTCTGGCTGTCATTGTCTAGGTTCTGCCTCCACTTTCAGGGACCCCCAAAATGGTGCTTTTTCCAAAAAAACTGATTCATTCATTGGTTGGAAGTGAACTCTAGTAGGATTAGAAGATTATTGACTATGCTCTATTAATATTTGGGCCCATAGAGACTACTGGAGAATCTACATACATGCACAATACATGTTTCTTGGAAGAAGGAAGAAAGAGGGTCTTAATAACTTAAGAGTTTCCGAGTATTCCCTGCTTCAGACGCTGTTACTCTAACAGTGCCCCATGATTAGGTGCTTTGCTCATGGCTTTGTTCCAGGTTGGGAGCTTCTCTCTTAATCTGCTACTCAGTCAATCATTCTGTGGTGGCACTCATCACTCTTAACTTCACCAACCTCCCCCAACACCTCAAGGAGAGAAGTGGCATCCTCCTCCCCTGGCTTCTTGGGTGAGAAAGACGTAGATTCACATACTATCTCCTACCACACTGACTCTTGCATGTGTTTTGTTTTAGTTCTCCCACAAACCTGACTTTGTTGTCTTTAAGAGATAAACTGAGGCACAATAATATTTTTTTCTATTAAAGAATTTATTTCAGCAAGCAATAATTTGTGATGTGACAAAAAAAAATCAATTGTGGTTCAGGTCTTCCGAAGAAAGACAATGGGGAAGCAATTACGGACAAATTCTGAACAAAGCTAGGAAAGTCCTTGGTTATTTGCAACTATGCATTATATAGTGTTTATTTAATTTGTCTTAAACCCCTTGTTGAATAAGTTACTGGGTGACTTCTGGTTGATTGAGATGGTTTCATTTTGTTCTTCTTCTTCTTCTTCTTCTTCTTCTTCTTCTTCTTCTTCACATTTTTCTCTTTTTATTTCTCTCTCCTCTCTCTCTCCCCCTTTCTCTGCATCTTTTGTACTGGTACTGGTACTAGGATAAAAAATAAAGGAAGTAGGAGAAAGAGAGATTGGAAAGTGACAGAGAGAGATGGAGTAGGTCTGGAAGGAGAAGTAACAAGGAAAAGAAAGGGTGAAAGAGAGAGAAGGTGGAACAGAGGGAAGGGAGGAGGAGAGATGGAGAAGTGGAAGGGAAGAAGGCAGAGAGGAAGTATAAGAAATAAATAAGTGGGGGAGAAAAGGACAAATAAAGAGGAAAGAAGAGAGAATTGAGAAAAAAGGAAGTGGAGTGGGACAGAAAAGAAAGGAGGAGAGGAACAAGAAAAGACAAAGACGAGAAAAAGAGGAAAAGGTATATGGTGAATAGAGTGAGAAGGGGAGAAGAAATGGAAGAAGATAAATGTTCTATGGTGACATTTAAGATATTCATCAGTCTGACTACAGATCAAGGCCAGTTCAAACCCCCTCTCCTCTATTGCTTAGGGTCTTAGTTGGGGTAATCCTTGTGGATTCCTGAGAATTTCTCTAGAGCCAAGTTTCTTGCTAACCCCATAACAGCTCCTTCAATCAAGATATCTCTTTCCTTGCTCTCATCTCTGTTCTTCCTCTATCTCAACTATCCCATTCCCTCAAGTTCTCTTCATCCCTCCTCTTCTCCCCCTTTTCTTTCCCTTCTACCTCTGCTCTCTGCGCACCCCCATGTTCCCAATTTTGTCAGACAATCTTGTCTATTTCAACTTTCCAGGTGAGTCTATATATGTTTTTCTTATGGTTCACCTTATTACTTAGCTTCTCTAGGATCACGAACTATAGGCTCAATAAATATATTTTGTTTATAGCTAATATCCACTTATGAGTGAGTACATACCATATTCATCTTTTTGGGTCTGGGTTACCTCACTCAGGATAATGTTTTCTAGTTCCATCCATTTGCTTGCAAAATTCAATATGTCATTTGTTTTAACTGCTGAATAGTACTCTAATGTATAAATGCACCACATCTTCTTTATCCATTCTTTGGTTGAGGGTCATCTAGGTTGTTTCCAGGTTCTGGTTATTACAAGAGAAATGAAAAGGGAGATGAGAGGGAGAGAAAAAGAGAAGAATAGTCATTAGCAGTCACCAGTTCTTCTTGAGCAGATAATATGAGCCTTTCCCCTCACAAAACAAAAGACCTTTTGTTTATACTGAACCTACCTATATGGAATGTGGGATGATGGAACGTGGGTCTATCAGGATTCTTCATGTCAAGGACACCCTTAACATCTATAGTTGTCTCCATTGGCAAGTCACCCTGAGTTCCTTGAGAGGCATAAAAGTAACCCTTGGACCCACTATATGGCACATTAATGCCCTCTATCTCCATGTACCTACTGTCAAGTCTGTTTTAGCTTTTAACATTATCTCTTTCTACCTACACAGCTGGGAAAGTTGGTGAGGAGATGTTCACAGTAAACTTCACTATCAACAACCTACGCTACTCTGCCGACATGGGCCAGATTGGCTCTCCCAAGTTCAATATCACAGATACACTCATGCAGCACCTGGTGAGTTACCTCCTGCCCTCAGGCACTTTCATTCCCCTTCTAGTGCAGAAGACAGCCTCTAACCTACTCTGACTCACTTCTTTCTCTACAGCTCAGCCCTTTGTTTCAGAGGAGCAGCCTTGGCCCCCTATACACAGGCTGTAGAGTAGCCACTCTGAGGTGAGACACAGTTTCCATTTGCAGCTCCCCTCCTCTCCCTTATCAACCCATTATCCCACAAAAGAATTGGAGTTGTGATAATGGGAGCACTTAGGATCAAGGCATTCTATTTTTTGTTTTGCCATTTGATGATTTTTAAGTCAATCTACTATTTTATAGCAACAATGTACTTGTGATTAATCCCTCAGTAGTATGGTGGTGGCATGACTTAATAGCAGAGTACGTGCCTAGAATTCACCAGTTGTGGAGGACTTAGGGATGGCCTCTCTATAGATCACTTACCAAGAATATATAAGCGCTTAATTTTGATGCAAGCATCATGAAAATATTAAATTGTTGTAAAACAAAACAAAACTTAAGGCTGAATACAGTAACACAAGCCTTTAATCCCAGAATTTGAAAGACAGTGGCAGGCAGGCAGATTGCTATTTACCCACGAGAAGGAAATGATGACACACCATAGTCCAATGTGGTGATTCAATGAGTTTACTGGGTTATCTATAGGCTTGAATTTGAGGGACTACTTATAGGAGCATGGCCAACTCAAAGGCAGTCCCATTACTGTAAACTTGACATGAATAACAACTCGTAAAAGCTTTGATACTGAAGCTCTCTGTACAGCTTCAAAGTATCTCAGTAGGTTAGGCAATCTTCTCTCTTCAGCACTCCTTATTAATTGTATAACTTCTGGAAGGGAGGAGCCGTGTTAATCTGGTACCTTTCCGAGCCTTTCTGATACATCTGCATTCTTCGTTTTCTGGTTGTATTGAGCCTCCCTTTAAAACTTTGAGTCTATGATGAACCTCTAATGAGAATAAGAATGTTTCAATGCCAAAGAAATTGCTACAAAACAAGAAAAAGGAAGAAACGGATGAAGAAGAAAATAAAGAACACTTTGAATGGGGGGAAAGGGAAGAACAGGAGAAAAGGTGGGGAAGAAGAAGGTGAAGGAATGGGGAAAGAGGAGCAGGGAAGGGGAAGAAGAGCAGAGAAGGAAAATGAGGAGGAGAAAGGGGAATGAGAGAAGAAAATAGATGGGAAAGAGGAAGAAGAAAATAATAGAAGGAAGGTGAGGAAGAAGGGGAAATGAAAGAGGGAAGAAAGAGAAAGGAGAGAAAGTAGAGGAGGTGAAACCAAAGTTGGGATAGCTTTGTAAGTAATTCAAGGAACAGTACAAAGAGAAAAGCTTTTAGATGTGAGTAACCACAAATGTGGAGATACTAATTTGAGAAAATACGTAAGAGAGCAAAGCAGCAAACAGTTTCAACAAAATCAGAGTGGAGGTTATGAGTTGGGTAGAGTGATGATAGAGTGTGAGACAGAGACGGTTAACATCTCTTCAGTGTATACCTCTTTCTCCACACCTTAGGTCAATGAAGAATGGTGCCCAGACCCAGGTAGATGCCCTTTGCACGTACCGCCAGGTTCCCAAAAGTCTGAGACTGCCTGCCAAGCCAATTTTCTATGACCTAAGCTGGCAGACCCGTGGAATCACCCGGCTGGGTCCTTACTCTCTGGATAAAGACAGCCTTTACATCAATGGTGAGTGTTTGCTGTCTCAACCTCCCTGTCCTCCTGCAGGCTACAAAGGTTTCCAGTTGCCAGTTCTTTCAGGAGATATTCGGATTCAAATCCAGGCTTCTAACAAAAAAACCCACCTACACCCCAGAAGACTGCTCCTTTATAATTCTCAGCTTGAGATTTTTGAATCTAAGACATGAGCCCAGTTGTTCATTGCCAGTGTAATGTTCTAGCCAAATACATCACAGAACAGTCTTTCATGGAGAAATAGTGAGGATACCCTTGTCTCACAGTCAGCCTTTTTTTCTCACCTTTGATACTAGATTAACTTTTCTCCTGGACGGTTTTCTTACACAGGAAAAAAAAGCAGGCATTTGTATATTTAATAGCCTAAGCTTCAGTTACTACATATTAGCATAAAACCAAGAAAGGACAGATTTTAAGAGATATGCCCTATATGGCATTTTAAATTGCAAAGCATAACATTAGAAAAACTGGTCTAAATAGTTCTCTCCTTCCCTTTCCTCAACTCACTTCCTCTCTCTTCCACTTTTCCTTTCCTCCCACCCCTCATCGTTTTCTTCCTTTTATTCCCTACCTTCCCTTCCCCTCCATTCTCCTCTGCTCCCCTACCCGCCCACACCATGTCTTTCCTGTCCTCCCCAACTTAGAAATAGTTCTTGGAAACATACACTCATGTATCTATCACCATTGCCTCAGAAGTGGCTACATTTTTTATTTTGAGAGAAAATACCTGAGAAAATCAACTTAAGAGAAGAAAGGTTTATCATAGCTTCTAATTTAGGGAAATCACTCTCATCATGACAAGGAAGGTGAGGTGCCTGGTCACATAGCACCAATAGTCGGGAAGAAGAACAGATAAATGCAAATCATCCGATTGCTTTCTTCTATCTATTTAGTCATGCCCCATGGTGCAGAACTGCCCACAATTAAGACAGATCTTTCAACCACAAACCAACCTAGAAACTTGTTCAGAGACATGCCCAAAAGTTTGTCTCCTAGGTATTCCTGAGACCAGCAAAATTGATAATCAGCATCAATTATTACACACAGTTATGGACCAGAGGAGACAATGTGGACCCCGCATTACTCTCATTTTAACAAAGAGAAAAACTAAGGCAAAGAGAATTAAAGGAACATGCCCTCACTTTGATATTGTAGTTTACATTTATCCCTTTAATTCTGTTCCAGAAAAAAAACTGGCTTGGGTTCTGCCTTCGTAAATTGTACTGTTTAAATGCATCACTTTGTTGTCCAGTCAACGATTACCAAAATCTATAAATCAGATTTTATCCCTGCCATCAGGAACAAATAATTTTCATGTGTACCTAGTCCCAGTGTAATCTGCAGTGCAGTAAAGATTGATTTGGTCATTACTACATAGAATACCACAGAGAGTAAGTGCTCAGTAAACACAAACTAGATAACAGAGGTAGATTAAAAGGGAAGACAATATTGCAGATAAACTACATACGTGGGAGTATAGAAGCTTAAATTTCTTATTGTTCTCTTGCTATTGAATTGTGTGAAGAGATAGATCTAATTGAAATAATAAGAAATTGTTCATGATGACATTCAAGTCAGATCTGGGCACATGAGTTTGAGTCTCAGTATACACAAAATAATTTTCAAAATGGGGCCCCCCGTGTACCAAAGCATGGTGTATGGAACCACTATGGTGCTTCCACTTATGCATAATTTTTGTTTCCTAGGTTACAATGAACCTGGTCCAGATGTACCTCCTACAAGTATGTATCCATAAAACTAAGCATTTTGGCCTATGTATGTCTCTTCATTCAGAAAGAAAGCATGCCTCAGAACAAACCAGCCACCTAAGAGAAGCTAAGGTCTTAGTAGATGAGTTCTAGGCCTCTCTTGTGGACCTTTGTCCTAGCATTGGATTTCTGAACTTTTCATACTCCTCATGGTTAAAGGAAGACATCGGAACAAGAGTTATAGGAAGGCAGAGGTCAGATGGTGACTGTAGTTTATCCCTCCCATTAACAAATGCTACTGGGGCCCCATTAGGGAATCCATTCTCAGGTTATAAATTATGATGGTTACTTAAGTTATTTGCAACTTTTGCTTTTTAAAAATCAGTAACCTGCTCACCTATCTTTTCAGCAATCCATTCTTTCATTTTCCCTAACATTTCTCTTATCTGGTGCTGCATTTCCATCCACCCATCCGTCAATTCATGCATCTACACATTTTACTGATCATCCTTTTACAATTTATTCTATCTGGTTTCATTTCTTTCTATATTCATTCACCCACTTATCCATCGTTTACTTCTGTCTTTTTTTATTTGTCCTTCATTTCCTGTATCCATTTGTCCATCCATCCATCCATCTTCACATCCATCTGTGTACTTACGGATGCATATATACTTACAGATATATGCATCTATCCATGAATCCTTCTATCTACCTACCCATGCATTTGTCAATCCATTCTTCCGTTTACCACATCTTCTTTTGTCCAAATGTCTATTTGACACTCAGTTCCTCTCTCGCGCTTCCACTACGCATCTATATGCCTCTCCAGCCACCCTGTGAACAACTTAACCACACACCCATCCATCTTTCTATTTGTCCATTTATCCCTCTAACTTCCCAGCATGCATTCACACCCTCCATCTGCCTAGTTGCCTAACTATACTCATTCATTTACTTGTACTTTCTTCCGTCTGCTTTGCTTCTACCTCCTCAAATGCTGTTTTCATTCTTTTCTATTCTTTTTTGACCTATTATTTGTATATTCTTCTTTACAATAGTCCCTTTCATTTTCTGCACTCACATTTACCCTTACTCTTTGATGAGTCCCTCTTCTTCTTACCACCCTATCTTACTAATTTCATTCACAGGTTTTTCTCATTTCTCCACTCACATGACTGCTCTTTCTCTTACTTTGGTGGGTGATTTGTCTGACTTGGAGCTGTACTATATGGGCTTCCCTTCAGGGCACTCTGTCCATTTCTGATGACAGCCTTTCCCACAGCTCCAGAACCAGCTACTACCATCTTGCCCTCCGCATCAACATCTCTACAGCCAGAGTCCAATACAGGTACCTGGGTGGGGTGTGGGGGGGAACCTTTGATTTCACTTGATGAAAACGTCTTGCTCCACACTTCTCACAGTTGTCACATGTCACATAAGAGCTAGGAAGCTTGTGATGTGAAGAACCCAGTGCCGGGTTCTTCATAACAAGCACAAAATCAGACGAGCAGTTAAGTTAGACGCTTCCCGTCATGCAAACACCATGTTCATGAGGTAAACAGATGATTTCAATACAATGAGGGCAATTCAGAGGGAAATATAATAGAGAAGAGGGCTTTATAGAGAAAACTCCACCTGTACTGATACTCCTCGTATAAATAGGGATGATCCAGATAAATGGGAAATAAAGTGTCGATTATAGGGAATTACATCAGCAATGACTCAGTTATCAAAAATAGCATATACATACAGAGAATTGATTATACCTGGGTTTGCATAAAGAAAAAGCCTTACTACAGAAAGGATAGTTATTGAAGGCTAAAGTTAATGTCATTAAAAAAAACAGCTTAGAATGAACTTCAGTACTAAATTAAGAAGCTTCTGCTTAGGATAGGTAGATGAGTCCATGGGAAAAGTGTTTGGCCCACAGACATGAACACCAAAGTTCAAATTCCCAGCACCCATGTAGGTGTTGGATAATCGTATCAGAGCAGAATTCCAGTTGTGTCACAGTGAACACTCAGTTGTGGGTATTTACTCTCTGTCTTCCTCCAGCTATGAGGCACCACCTAGAAACCTTCACCATCAACTTCACCATCTCTAACCTTCCATATTCAGCTGACATGATCAGTGGCTCAGCCTTGTTCAACTCCATTGAGCATGTCCTACAACACCTGGTAAGACCCTCTGTCCTGAAAAGCCCATGCCAAAACTAACTTCATCTACATTTTTTACCCGTTTACTCTCTTTTCTCCTTTTTCATTCACAGCTTGGATCCTTGTTCCAGAACAGCTCCTTTAACTCAAGTTGCAGACTGACCTCCCTCAGGTTATTCTACTTCCATATAATTGCCCTCATTATTGCCTGACAATAATTATCCCTTCTTTTGATCTTCTGCTATTTTCTTCTTCCTTGGGGTTTCCATATACATTATACATTAGAACCTCCCTTGAATCTCTACACCTTTCTCTTTAAGGCCTGTGAAGAATGGAACATTCACAGTGGTGGGTACCACCTGCACCTACCAGCATGACCCTGCACATCCTGGAATGGATGCTCAGGGTCTGTACTCAGAACTGAGTCATCTGAGCCATGGAGTCACCCAACTGGGAAACTACACACTGGAGAAGCATAGCCTCTATGTGAATGGTGAGTATGGTCTGTGGTTTGCTCTGTGGTATCTATCCTCAGGCATCCTTTATTTTCTCTATACTCCCATATGTTCCTAGTGGTTTCTGTGTATACCAGCTGTTTCTGTGTTCTTCATTTCTGTCCAAATGATCAAATAAGCATATACAAAAAGCATAGATGGGTAAAGTAGACTATCACATCATGGACAATGTCAAGAAGGAGATACATAAATTCTGGCCTTTAGCTCACTTTAATCCATCCAGGAGTCTAGGCCAAAAGACAGTGCTGTCCAGAGTTAAGGTATGTCATTCCTCCTAGATGGACCCAGACTATGAACTCCCTCACCATCATCCTCAGAATTGGCCTCCTTGGTGATACTAAATTGTCAAATTGACCATTTGTACCAAGCATTACACCCCATGGAGAGTGAAAGATGATATCTTATACCTTCATAATGAAGAAAGAAATTAAGATACTAGGAATGAACGGTGCCAGCTTACAATTTTAAGAAGTGAAGTTTGAAGCTGGTCTGAGGCTTGGTGTTTTGAGTTTATATTTTATTCTTTGGCCACTGAAGATCTATGCATGGTTTCCCTCTTAAAAATGCACAATTTAAATGTCTAATTTGTTGTCAAGTCAGCATTTACCAAGAATCTACTGAAAACCAGACCTTGTTTCTGGTACCAGAGATGAATAAGTTTCATGCTCATTCATCTAAATATAATTTATAGTAAGGCACAGACTCACTATAATATTATTCAACACAATATTTTTTAAGTGGAATAAGATGCAAATGATCATATATATATATATATATATATATATATATATATATGAGGTAAGTAGATAATAACATAGATGAGAATATATCTTTGGCTTTTGAGGTATGAACATAAATCATATGAGGGACTCATTCTGGAAGCATCTAAGAAGCTGGTAGGAAAGAGTTGGGTCTAAATGAAGTATCAGGAAGTTTTTCCTGATGACAATATTTAAGTAAGATCCTAGAACATTAGTATATAATAAGTGTTCATGAGGTTATGTATCCATTTCCCACATAAATGGCAGCATGGTGTATGAGAACATTCTGCACCTTGCATTTATGCTTGACTTTTGTTTTCTAGGTTACAATGGTCTTGGTCCAGATATACTTACTACAGGTAAGTATCAAATTATGCCAACTTGGTCTTGGTCGAGGCTTTCCTCCTCTCTTATAAAGGAATCTAGCCCCAAACACAAGTCAGTCTCCTGTGTGGAGCTAGTAGCAGAAAGGAGAGCCCCTGACCTATATCTGCCCTTCAGCCATGGCATCAGATTTCTGAATTCCCTTTAATCCTTCATCTTGGAGGAAGAAATATAAATAAGTGATTGTTGCTTATAAAAAGAATTATGTCAGATAGTAATTTTTTACTTTCTTCTTTTATTTATGAAAAAAGTATATTATAATATACTTCTTCCTTTCCTCCCTCCAAAACCACCCATAAACTTCCTTTCTCTCTTTCAAATTCATGGCCTTATCTTTTCATTAGTTACTGTTAGACATATATGCATATATGTATATATTCCTAAATATGACCTGCTTAGTCTGTATAATGTTACTTGTATCTATATTTTCAGGACTAACTACTTGATATTGGAGAGCCAATTAGTGTGCTCTTCCCTAGGGAAGAGTATTTTTCCCACTCTCATCGTATATCCACATGTTTATTTTTTAGTTCATTTACTTGAATTTTCTCCTTTGTTCTTTCCCCTATACCTCTTCCCAACCATCCATCCATGCATCTGTGCACCCATATATCCATTCATTCACCCACATGCACCGACTCACCCACTTCATCCTTAAGTTAATCTCTCCATCCATCCATGCATCTGTGCACCCATATATCCATTCATTCACCCACATGCACTCACTCACCCACTTCATCCTTAAGTCAATCTCTCCATCCATCCATGCATCTGTGCACCCATATATCCATTGATTCACCCACATGCATTCACTCACCCACTTCATCCTTAAGTCAATCTCTCCTTCCGTCCATGCACCCACTTACCCATCTAAGCACCAATTCATTCACATGTTCAGTCATCCACCAATCATATTCATTCATTTGTTCTGATCTCCAAATCTCCCATTTATCACGTTTTTATTCTTCTTGAAACACATTTGAGCCATTTATCATCAACTTATCACTTCCTTATTTGTCTTCACATTGATAAATTGCTCACAATTTTCATTGCCTTGAATAAATTTCATTCAGAGACTTAGTTGCCCCTACACTCACATAGTCACTCTTGTTTATGATCCACTTATGAATAATTAGTCTGGCTTGAACCACTTCTAGAGGAGTTCATTGACTGTATGGGGAGGGGCTATGCTCATCACTGCTAACAGCCTCTTTTACAGTTCCTGAGCCAAGCACCACCATCCTGCCTTTTACATTGACATCTGTACAGCCAGAATCTACCACAGGTATTTGGGGGAAGCCTTTTCCTACATTTGATGAAATGCCCTGTTCCACACTTCCATATCCTGACTTACATGAGACCTGGAAAGCCATGGTGTGAGGATCCAGTGCCAGTATCATTATTAAAATAACATATATTAGACCAGAATTTCAATCAGATGCCTGCCCTTCATGCAGCTACCAGGCTTCTGAGATGAATAGACCATGACAATACAATGAGAGATTCTTGTGAAGTGAGAAGCACCTGACACAATGTAAGTGAGTGGGGGATCCACCTGAACTATTATTTACTGATGTGAAGGAATATTCCAATGGTGTGAACTCAGGGGCCAACAAAAGCAAGTGAGTGGAGAGACTTGAGGAGTTTGATTTGCTTGAAGTATGAAGCTCAGCTCTCAGTGATGACTCTCCTTGTCCACTCCAGGATCCACAAGGCCATAGTGATAGGCATAGAACTGATAAGTAACCGAGTCCGGGAATCATAAGAAATCACATTAAAAGAGTCTTGAGTGTCAAACCATGAAACAAGAAATTGACACTGAAACTCCAAAGGGAGCCATAGGTGGTTAGAGCACTGAAGGTGTTGTAATGAATTTTTTCCTTTCAGAAATGCTTTTCTTGTGTTCATCATAGAAAAATCCACTTAGCTGGAACACACAGTGAATCTTATAGTGTAATATACTGGATATGAGAAGATAAGAGCTGACATGTTATGGCAAAGGAGATAGCACACATGAAGAACATTCACAGTAGGGAACTGGTTTGACACGGAGATGAGATGTTCAGCTCTGACTTGGATTGTGCAGTTACAGGTCGTGGTATATGAGGATATATAACTTGATGTGTATAGGAATCTAGTGTAGTATCTTCAAGCTCTCAGTTATAGGGATCTCTCTTCCTGTCTTCTCACAGCTGTGGAACACCATCGGAAGACTGTCATACTCAATTTCACCATCTCTAATCTTCCTTATTCAGAAGACATGAACTATAGCTCAGCCATGTTCAACTCCACTGAGCATGTTCTACAATACTTGGTGAGACCCTCATCCTGGAAACAGCTTGTAGGACAAAGTTCCTGTACATCTTGCATACGACTCTTTTTTTTTCTTTCCTCTATAGCTTACACCCTTATTCCAGAATATCTCCTTTAACCCAAGCTGCAGACTGACCTCTCTCAGGTGAGTCCACTTCCTTGTCATTTTCCAGGAATGACTGTACCTAATGACCCTTCTGCTGTTTCTTCCTTCCCTGGGACTCTTAGCCACATGAAGGTATCTCCAGAGTTTCCACATCTTTTTTCAGGCCTGAGAAGAATCAAAACTCCACTAGTGTAATTGTCATTTGCTCCTACCAACATGATTCTGCGCATCCTGGGCTGCACACACAAGAAATATATTCAGCGATGAACCATCTGACCCATGGAGTCACTCAGCTGGGCAACTACACATTGGGCAAAGATAGTCTCTATGTGAATGGTGAGCATGGTCTGTGTTTTCCTAGAGGATGTCTTCAGCCATTTTTTATTTCCCTAGCCTTTTCAAAGTCAAGGATATCTTTCTAGACCAGTTACCTTCATGTTCTTAGATTCTCTTCCAAGAATTTAAGGAGCACACATAAATAGCATTTCAGGAAAGTAGATACAGCTGTGTCCCAAGTCAGGAAAAATATGGATGTAAGTAGTGGCCCTCATCTCTCTTTCTATTTCTCTTATATAGTTTAGGGATCTTGTCCAAAAGATAGAGAGAGCTACAAAGAATTAAGGTGGAACTATGTGCTTCATTTAAACTAATACCAATCCCCCCTCACAGAATGCCCAGAGCTTTGCCTTGGTGATTCTTGCTTATCCTCCATTCCTTTTCTCTTTCTTTTGTCTGTGCATCTGTCTAGCCATATGTTCATGTATCCATCCATTCATCATCTATTCATTCATTCAACTCATAGCTATTCACTCTTGCCAGCTCACAATCAGTATTCACCACTAATTACCAAGATTGATGTTCACACAAGTTACTCCCATTTTAAGACAGAGAGAAACTAAAGCACATGTAGGTAAATTGACTGGCCTGCTGTAACATAAATTTGTCTGGATATGAATTCTAAAATTTCAATTTAAACCTAGTCCTTTAACTTGGCTGTTGCAAGGACAAATATGGGATTTTTTTCTCTTATAATTTACACAATTGAAATTCATCATTACATTTTTCACTTAGGATTTTTCAAATATTCATTATAATACAAACACGGTTGACACTAAGAACAAGTAAGTTACATGCATACTTTGTCCCAGTGGAGCATGGAGTTTTTAGTTCAGTTGTATATTCTTCAAGTAGAAATGCAGTACCAAACATGATACCTTCCCAATAAATATGTGTGGGTTGAATGTGTGTAGATAGATAGATAGATAGATAGATAGATAGATAGATAGATAGAGTGAGTGGAAAGGATGATGGTATAAGTTGATACATGTAAATATGTTGAGTGATATCTGAAAATAAGCCATATAGACATAATTTAAAAGAGCATAATTGGGATTAAGTAGGGAAGAGTTAGATGAGTTGAAACATCAAGACATTCTTCCTAATGCCAATCAAGTCAGATCATAGAACATTAATAGATGCTCAGTTAGTGTATAAAGTGATACACATCTACATTGGACCACATGAACTAATGCATGGTGCTAAGGACTGTGCAACACATTCTCCTTACATTTTTTTTTTTTTGCTTTTCTAGGTTACAGTGGAACTAGTACAGAAGAATCAACGACAAGTAAGTATCAGTTTAGCCTGACCTAGGTCTTGGTCCATGCTTTTCTCCTCATTTCTAAAGGAAGCTTGTCCTAAACACAAGCTAGTCTCTGGAAAGGGCCCAGAGACTCAGTGGAAAGAGAGCTGGCGGCCTCTTTTTGGGTCTGAAGCCCTGGTGCTGAATTTCTGAATTTTCCTCAATCCTCTGAGTCAGAAGAAAAAATTGAACAATTATTTTATATGGTATTATTAAGCTGAATTAATTCAGAGACTAGTTTATGTTACCTAAAACAAATGCTGTTGAGGATGTAGTAGGGGCTAAGTAGCACATTTTGATGTCTACTAAAGTGTTTGTATAAAATAGCCCACTCATTCAGTATCCCACTCATATATCTTTCTAACTGTCAATTCTTTCATTTACTAGTTACTGTTCATCCAGAACTGCATTTTCAGTCTTCTATCCATCCATTTACCCACCTAGTCATCCATCCATTCCCTTTTCCATTATACTATATTTCTTCATTTCTTTTTATCATTCCTTCTCTAATTATTCTTCTAGACTTCCATATATCCACTATTTATCCATGCAATCATATTTCTCTCCATTTGCTAACTTTTATTTTTAGCTCTTTTACATCTTACACACACACATATATACACATACACCACACACTTCTACACAGTCATCCATCATCCCCCTACATACCTATCCACTCATTTACCTACCCACCATTCAACCACCTACCCATGTATTCAGTACCTAGATATTAGTCAATTTATTCAATTATGTACCTCGTTACATTTTCTCATCTGTATGTGTGCTTATCATCCACTCCTTTTCTTTTTCTCTTGTTTGTACATCTGTCTATCCATATGTACATGTATCCATCCATTCATCACCTCTTCACTCATCCGTCCATCCATCATTCATTCATTCAGTTATCAAACCATCCATCCACCCATTTACCATCCTGCCCATCAACCAATATCCATCCACCTATTCAGCTACCCACTCATGCATATACTTGGATGAATGAATGAAATTTATGCCCTGGCAATGCTGAAACATGCATGGGCATGCCCACACATGACAGTTCTGTTGAACTTGTTCATATTGGGTTTCGTGATCTAACTTACTGAGAATAATTAACGAGGTCTTTTCCTTAGTGGGGCACCAGATTAGATGGTTGTGAACCACCATGTGGTTGCTGGGAATTGAACTCAGGACCTTTGAAAGAGCAGGCAGTGCTCTTAACCACTTAGTCATCTCTCCAGCCCCATGTATATATTTACCCCAACACATACACACACTTACCCTAACACAAATCTGTCAATCTGTGAACTTCCCCACTATTCATCATGCTCTTTTACTTACATGTTATTTGTTTCCTCTTTCCTTTCTTTTATTTCTCCAAATACTTATTATCATTATTAAAGTTTGGGTTGACCCTTCAACAATCTTTTCTTCTTCTTACTTAACTATTTAGCAATTCAATTACTGCCCACCTTTCTCTGGCCAACCACTCTCACTATCTGAGTTAATTTTATTCACAGGCTTTTTCAGCATTATCACACATTTTCTCTTTTGATCCCTTTTGAGTGTTATCTACATACAAATGGTTGCTCTGCCTTGAAATACTGCTGCATGGGCTTCTCTAAATACATGGGGATTTTCTCATCCCTGATGACATCCCTTTCCAGAGATCCTAAATCAGCCACTACCATGCTGCCTTCTCCAACAATACCTGTGCAAACAGAATCCACCACAGGTATCAGAGAACCTGTTTCTATTTTTATAAGATCTTTGTCCCACAATTCTGATTTGCATATAAGATCTAAATGGAAGGATATAAAGAACCTAGTTCCATAGCCATCATCAAACACAAAGACTATAGTAGCAATTCAATCAATTGTCAAGCCTCATACAACCACTGGGATTGCAAGGTATACAGACAACTGCACTGCAGTGAGGAATTTGGCTTGGGCATGCATCTCACATGATATAAAGATTAAAGGACTTTCTAGAGACAGTTCATCCTGATTTGCATCTCTCATACTGACTAGGAGTGGTTAACATAACTTAAATGATATCAACAACGAGGGCTGTTTGACCTAGAAAAACATAGTATACTGGGATAAATTAGAGGAATTTGGCATCCATGGAGCATAAAGTTCATCTCCCAATATAGCCTTTGCATTTCTAATCCAGAGCCTGTAAAGACAGGATGGTAGGTCCAGATTTATGATAACCAAAGCTAAAAGGTCAATAGAAACCAGATTGTAAGGGGCCCTGACAGACAAATCAAAACACTCAAACTGAAAACTGAAACTGAACAAAGATCTATGAGTTGTAGAAGTTACAGGACAGTCCCAGTGAGACTTTCTTTTCAGAATACTCCTCTAAAGTTCAGTGTAGAAAAAGTCCCTTAGACAATATATCCTGTGAGTCTGATAGGGTGATCATGTAAATAAGAGAAGATACTGTTATGATAGGAAAGTACACACAAAGTATGTTAGGAACATTCAGAAAGGTTTGTTGGATGTGTCATAGAAATGGGATATTCAGGTTGTAGGTAGGCTGGGTAGATGAGAAGCAAAAGGAGGTATGACTTGATGAGTATTGTATCCCAGTGTGCTTGCAGGTAAAATCTCTTCTCATCTCTTCCAGCTGTGGGGCACCACTTGAAAACCGTCTCCATCAGCTTCACTATTTCCAACCTCCCTTATTCAGCAAATATGAACAATGGCTCAGCTGTGTTCAACTCCACTGAGACCCTCCTGAAGAATCTGGTGAGACCCTCATTCCAGTAGCTTCTGCTTGGATAAATCACATCTACCAACTCTATCCAAATTTTATTCTCATTATTTTCTTTGTTTTTCTTCCCAGATGGAACCATTGCTCCATAATGGTTCTTTCAACTCAAGTTGCAGACTGGATTCTCTCAGGTGTGCACTTGCCAAAAAACTATTATTGTTGCCTCTCTTCTTGCTTGCCCTCCTTCGGATTCCTATCTATGTCTCTATTCCTCTTGATCTAGGCCTGAGAAGAACGGAACTGCCACTGGCGTAGAAGTCATCTGCACATACTTGCATGACCTTGCACATCCTGTGTTGGACACCCAGGAATTGTACTCAGAGCTGAGCAACCTGACCCAGGGAATAACCCAGCTGGGCAACTTTACACTGGACAAAGAAAGTTTACATGTGAATGGTGAGCATGATATGTGGTTGCTGTGTAATGTCCTCAGCCACCTGTCATTTTTTTTACCTCCATCAATTATATTGATAACGCTGTCTAGAACAGTTTATTTTAGGTTCATAGAACCTCTTTTCCAGAATTCATGGAGCACATAAAAATAATCAGACAAGGAGGTATTGGCATATTGTATAAAAAGTCAGGAAGCAGAAAGAAATGAGTATGTTTGCTGAACTTCTTCTCTACTCCTTGTTGTTTCTACTTCCAAGTACGCATCCCAAAGTTTATGGTACCCACATTTATTCACACTTGGTTTGTCCACCCTAAGTAACTAGATATAGAGAATTTCTTGCAGAAATGTTCAGAGACTTGTCAATTCAATGAGCTTATGTCTTGTCAATTGCCAAGCCATTTTAACAATAATACCCTATGAAATGGGCAAGGAGATACAATGCATCCACATTACTCTGAATTTCATGAAGAAAGCAAACAAAGCACAGACCTGAAAAGGCACATGCCTTTCCTACACTGAGTTTTGAATGATTGAAATTTTGTCATTCTGCATATTATATCCAATCACTAAACTATCTCAAGGATTTGTTTATGATTTTCATTCTGTTTTCATTTCCAATAAGCATTTAATATAAACCGTACCTTATTCATGATGCAAAGAACAAATAACTCTCATCTGTATTGTTTCTTAATGTGAACTACAGTGAGAACATGGACACTGAATTTTTTAATCATTGTCTATTTGTGTAATATACTTCAAATGAAAATAGAATACAGCTCATAGTAAATGGTCAATAAGGATATTCTGGATGGATATCTAGTGGCATAATAAAAAAATAATGGTGTGTATTGAGGCATATTGTTGGGGAAGTAAGGTGTGAGATGTGTTTTATAAGAATCTATTGGGGACATAGAGATGGGTATAGTTGAAATACCAAGAAATCCTTCTCCAGTATGATTTGTCAGATCTTATAACATGAATAGATGTTCACTAATCTTTTTAGGTGTGGTTTGGTACCATATAGGCCAAAGCATGCAGAATCCTTTCCCTTGCTCTTCCCTCCTCTAACATGTCTTGTATTTTCTAGGTTATAATAAACCTGGTCCAGAAGAACCTCCTACAAGTATGTATCGATTTAGCCCGACCTACATATTGCTCCATACTTTTCTCCTCATTTCCAAACGAAAGCTGATCCAAATACAAACCAGGCTGTTCAGAGAGACCAAGGTCTCAGTGGAAGCAATTGGTCTCTTCTTGAAACTGCAGCTCTCATGTTGGGTTTCTGAATTTTCCATATTCTTCTTGGTTGGAAAAAAAATATTTCCCAAATTGTACCATACAGAATTAATGGACTTTAGCTGAGGGGGTTACTGTGTAATGTGTGTTTCCTAGGAGGACGTTCCAACCAGGGGACATTATCGTTATCAATCTACAAACTTGGATGACTAATTAGGTGTTTTTCTAAAATTGCCTTCTTTCTTGTATCTTTTCTAATTTATATTAGTTCTCTGAGAGTATTACACCAGGAATTTGTGTTGCTATTGCATCAGTGAACATGTGTTACCAGACCAGTCATCACTGTAATTCAAAGTGTTAGCAGCAGAACAAGATTTGTGATTGCTTTCCTCCTCTAGTAGCATGCATAGCACCTTCCAGCACTCTGAAAGCCAGCCAGAAGGGATGAAACTTCCAGCTGAGTGCCAGTTTACCTCCCCATGTGCTATGGCTCAAGTGCCTGGTATCTTCAGCAGTACGAATCGAACCAAGAAGTTCTACAGGGAAACCCAATACAATGGAAATAGGCAGTACTGTTTGGAAGTCAATGGTACATCACTTGTCAATAGCTCCAAAAGGAATAATCTGTTTCTGGTGCTGGCATTTAGTTGTCATCTAGTGGTGTCTAGTGAGGCACTGCTGCCCCATTATATAGCAACTCCATTTAGACTCCTTATATGTGTGCGTGCATATACTTTAGGAAGCTTCTATAATATTAGAATTCTGTCTGACTCTTTGGAATGCCCTTTGTATTAATTATTCCTCCCCATATTCTCTCTCTACATGGTCATTCTAATTTCTTCTCTATTTTACCCTTCCCATTCTGTTATTTCCTATCAACCATTAAATCACCATATCCTATCAAATGAAACACATAAATCTAAAGATTCAAAGCCAACATCTACAAATAATAGAAAATATATGACTTCTTCTCTCTTGTTCAAGGTTACTTCACCCATGATTGTTTTCAGCTCTATCCATTTACCATCTCATTTCTTAGCCGTACCATTTTTATTTAATTTTTATGTGATTTATTTTGATTATGTTTTTCTCTTCCCAAACTTCTTCCAGGTCCTTCCCACTTCCCTACTTGCACAACTTCATGCTCTTCCCCTCTCTTCCCTCTCTTTGTTTTTCTATCTCTCCCCCAAGTTCCCAAAAGACAAAAGTAAAAATTCAAACACATATACAAGAAGACAAAATTTCAAAATGAAAGAAAATAAAATCTAATACAAAATTAATAACTGAAAAAAATAAGTTATCCATTTTCTCTTCTCCAACTATTTCTGGGCATGAGTCCTGACTTGTGGGTGTTTGATACACCCAGTGACACTTCATAGGAGAAAATTAATTTTCCCTTTCTTAGCAGGTGTACATTGCAAATAGCTTCTTGTCTAGGGGTAGAACTTTGTGTCCACTTCCCTTTCTCGGTGCTGAATTTTTCTGATTTAAACTTGTACAGCTTTTGTACATTGTAGCATTATAGAAGACTCCAAGGATATAATATCTTCCAGATACAACAGATGAACTCACAGAGACTACGGCAAATTTGAATAGAGCAGCAATAAACATGGACTTGCATGTGTCCCGATAGTAGCATACAGACTTCTTAGTGTATATGCCCAAGAGTGGTAACATTGGATCTTATAGTAGATCTACTTCCAGCAATGTAAGAACCTCCACACTTATTTCTGTAGTGATCATACCCCCACGAGAAGTGCGTAATTGCTCCTGTTTCTCCACATCCATACCAGCATTTGTTGTCATTTTTTGCTGTTTATTTATTTATTTATTATTGTTTTTAAGTTATTCCTGTAAGGGTCAGAAGAAATATTATAGAAGTTTAGATTTTATTTCCCTGATACCTAAGTGTGTTGAACATGTTTTCAAAAATGTTTCTCCACAGTTTGTACTTCATTTTGTGAGAATTAAGAGCCATGCCACAATTTTTATTGGTTGTTTTCTTGGTGCTTAATTTTTAATTTATTTTTATATTCTTGACACTAACCCTCTGTCATATACTTAGCCTAGCTGATAAAGATTTTTGCCAATCTTTAGGAAACCACATTGCTCAAACAGTGTTATCTTTTTCTCTAGAGAAGCTTTTGGTTCTCTTGGACATGTGTATTAATTGTTAGTCTTTAAGATTTTGCTATCCAGGTTCTCTCTCTCAAATCCCTTCTTGTGCCAGTAAGTTGAAGTGTATTCCTCATTTTCTCCTTAACTACATCAGGGTGCAAGGACTTATGTAAAGGTTGTTTAATCATTTGGAGTTGAGTTTGGGGTGTTCAGTGGCCTACTTATCCATTATCTTTCCAGCTTCCCATTCTTCCATTTTCCAGCTCTTCCTGAACTCATATCACATTTACATCAATTCATCCATCCATCCATCCATTCTCCCACCCACCCATCCATCCATCCACCCATTCTCCTACCTATTCATTTGGATTTCCTTTGTTTCTTCTCTCTCCTTCCTTTATGCATGATTGTGCTCATTCACTCATTCACATTCTTTGATAAACCTAAACTAATGTCCAGTTTCTATTTCATGCTTTATTTCTTCTTGTATCTTCATACATTCATACACACGTTCACATTTCTATTAGACGCACCCCTGCCTATATATCCATATACTCACAACCTGTGTGATCACCCACTCTTCTGTCTGCTACAACCTATGTATCTTTCTGTCCATTTGGCTGTTTATATACCTGTGTCCTCCATTTGGCTTTCAGTCAATTCACATACCAATCCACTCATGAATCCATGCATGCAGTATCTATCTATTTGTTGATGGAGGCTGCTTGTTGATTCCTGGCTACTCAGACCCAAAATCATCACACAGAAACTATATTATTTAAATCATTGCTTGGCCCATTAATTCTAGCTTCTTATTGGCTAACTCTTTTATTTTATTTTTTTTAAATTTATTTATTTATTAAAGATTTCTGTCTCTTCCCCACCACCGCCTCCCATTTCCCTCCCCCTCCCCCAATTAAGTCCCCCCCTCCTCAGCCCGAAAAGCAATCAGGGTTCCCTGTCCTGTGGGAAGTCCAAGGAACCCCCACCTCCATCCAGGTCTAGTAAGTTGAGCATCCAAACTGCCTAGGCTCCTACAAAGCCAGTGCATGCAGTAGGATCAGTCATTGTTCTTGAGTTCTCAGTAGTCTTCATTGTCCGCTATGTTCAGAGAGTCTGGTTTTATCCCAGGCTTTTCCAGACCCAGGCCAGCTGGCCTTGGTGAGTTCCCAGTAGAACATCCCCATTGTCTCAGTGTGTGGGTGCACCCCTCACAGTCCTGAGTTCCTTGCTCGTGCTCTCTCTCCTTCTGCTCCTGATTTGGGCCTTGAGGTTTATGTCTGGTGCTCCAATGTGGGTCTCTGTCTCCTTTCATCGCCTGATGAAGGTTAATATTCAGGAGGATGCCTATAGGTTTTTCTTTGGGTTCACCTTCTTATTTAGCTTCTCTAGGATCCCTAATTATAGGCTCAATGTCCTTGTTTATGGCTAGAAACCAAATATGAGTGAGTACATCCCATGTTCCTCTTTTTGGGTCTGTCTTACCTCACTCAGGATAGTGTTTTCTATTTCCATCCATTTGCATGCAAAATTCAAGAAGCCCTTGTTTTTTACTGCTGAGTAGTACTCTAATATGTATATATTCCATCCATTCTTCTATTGAAGGGCATCTAGGTTGTTTCCAGGTTATGGCTATCACAAACAATGCTGCTATGAACATTGTAGAGCATATACTTTTGTTGTATGATAAGGCCTCTCTTGGGTATATTCCCAAGAGTGGTATTGCTGGGTCCAGGGGTAAGTTGATCCCGAATTTCCTGAGAAACCGCCACACTGCTTTCCAAAGTGGTTGCACAAGTTTGCATTCCCACCAGCAATGGATGAGTGTACCCCTTTCTCCACAACCTCTCCAACAAAGGCTATCATTGGTGTTTTTTATTTTAGCCATTCTGACAGGTGTAAGATGGTATTTTAAAGTTGTCTTGATTTGCATTTCCCTGATCGCTAAGGAAGTTGAGCATGACTTTCAGTGTCTTTTGGCCATTTGAACTTCTTCTGTTGAGAATTCTCTGTTCAGCTCATTGCCCCATTTTATAATTGGGTTGATTAGCCTTTTATGGTCTAGTTTCTTGAGATCTTTATATATTTTGGAGATCAGACCTTTGTCAGTTGCAGGGCTGGTGAAGATCTTCTCCCAGTCAGTGGGTTACCTTTTTGTCTTAGCGACAGTGTCCTTTGCTTTACAGAAGCTTCTCAGTCTCAGGAGGTCCCATTTATTCAATGAGGCCCTTAATGTCTGTGCTGCTGGGATTATACGTAGGAAGTGGTCTCCTGTGCCCATGTGTTGTAGAGTACTTCCCACTTTCTCTTCTATCCTTTTCAGTGTGTTCGGGCTGATATTGAGGTCTTTAATCCATTTGGACGTGAGTTTTGTGCACGGTGAAAGATATGGGTCTATTTTCATTCTTCTACAGGTTGACATCCAGTTGTGCCAGCACACTTTGTTGAAGATGCTCTCTTTTTTCCATTGTATTCTTTTAGCTCCTTTATCAAAAATCAGGTCTTCATAGGTTTGGGGGTTAATGTCAGGGTCTTCTATTCGATTCCATTGGTCGACTTCTCTGGTTTTATGCCAATACCAAGCTGTTTTCAATACTGTAGCTCTGTAGTAGAGATTGAAGTCAGGGATGGCAATGCCTCCAGACGCTCCTTTGTTGTATAAGATTGTTTTGGCTATCCTGGGTTTTTTGTTTTTCCATATAAAGTTGATTATTGTCCTCTCCAGATCTGTGAAGAATTTTGATGTGATTTTGATGGGGATTGCATTGA